TGGAGTTCACTGCTCGGGGACATCCCTGGCTGAGTGCAGTGTCTCTGCCCTTCTGCCTGTCCTGGCAACTGCACGGGCACCGCTGTTCTCCTGCTCAGCAGGGGCTGTGCGTCTTCTGTGAGGCGGGGCAGCTTGGTTTGGACAGAGAGGCGCCCTCCCACCCTACCGTCGTGGGGTAAAGGGTCTCCCCCAGCCCTGCAACACAGGAGGGCTGGGCCAGGCAGCGGGCTTGGGACTGCAGCGCCCCCTGCTGGGCACCGTGGCCAGCGCGCTTTCTCCTGGTGCCTGCCGTTCTCACTATTCTGTTTCTTTTCTTTTTTGGGCCACATCTGACTCTGCTCAGGACTTATTCCTGGTGGTACTCAGGGCGCCAGAGATAGAACTGGGTCAGCTGCGTGCGGGCAAGCGCCCTTCCCGCTGGACGTCTCTGGATATTGTTTCTCAGTCACCCTGTCCAGGGGGATTGCGCCCCATTTTCGGTTCTAGAAACCACTATCCGAATGATGGAAAAAGATCACTGGAACAAAGGGAAGAGATGCAGGTGGCTCCCCGGCCCCGTGTTCTCGCGGTCCTCCAGATAACCCCCTACACACACAACACACACACACACACACACACACACACACACGCTTTGCGTTCTGGGCCCAGCCGGCAGTGCCCGGGGCAGGTCCTGGGGGGATGCTCTGCTCAGGCTTGCTCAGGGACCATGTGCGGTGCAGGCATTTGAACTGGGGTCGTGGCTGACGCAGCCACGTGTCAGCAGCCCCCTGGGGAGACATTTAAGCCAAGCAAAGGGGCTTTGGGTGACAAGGGCAACGGGAGAGGTTGGGGGGGCGGCCATTGGGTGCCAGGGTCCTGGGTCCTGGGGGCCACAGCACAGGTGGGGCGTGGCACCAAAGACGGAGCTGCCTTGCAGCCCCCGTGCTCCCCTGCCCCCTCCAGTCCCAGGCAGGCCCTGCCTGCAGCCCCCTCCCCACCTGGACGGTGGACATGCGGTATTGGGGCTTCTCCTCGGCTAAAGGACGCCCAGGCCGAGTGGAGCGAGGTGGCCGGCTGGAGCGGCCCAGAAGTGCGGGCAGGCCAGCGTCTACACAGATCAGCATCTGCCGGTACCGGGGCCACTGCCACCTGGCCAGGCACGGTTCTCTCTCTGGGCTCTGCCCCTGGCCAGTTTGTGCCTGGCCATCCTGATGGTCACTGTGACCTGGGTCTACATCCCCCGCGCCGTGTCTGCAGCGTCTGGAGCAAAGGCCGGCCAACCTGCACAAACGCTGCTTGGTGGGGGGAGCCTTCGCGATTGGGGGCTTCGCTCTGGGGGGTCCCTCGCCGGGGTGGGAGACTCCGGGCACGGCCTGTTTTCTGGGCCGCTGCGCCGGCGCCCTCTGCCTCCCCCTAGCGGCGAGCAGGGGAAGGGCGCGCACGCTCCGCGGCTGGGGAGGGGCGCCCCAGGGCCGCCGCCAGCCCCTCCCACGCGCCCCTCCACTGGAGCCTGGGGAGTCAGTTGAGGGCTTTGCGCGTTCACTGATCTGGGCTACAGAACAGGGAAGCCTCGAGATCCCGGGACGTTTATTCATAGCCGATGATAGCAAAAAAAAAATATTTATTTTTGAAATAATAAACATTTCTATACTTACTCCCAAAAACATAACAATTGCAGTTTTGGAAAATTAGAGATGACCGTCCTGTTATTCTATTATCGTCAGATAATGCGTTCTGGAGTCTTAGTTGAGAGTACAGGCCGCGGCCCTAGTGGCCACGGGGTTGGTCCTCTGCAGAATCACTGCCCCGCTGGCCACTGGGAGGTGTAGAGCGCGGGCAAAATCACAATACATGCCTAGGACTCGGTCCAACACTAAGTTCCTCCCCACTTGGGGAGTCCTTTCTCTTCTCTGTCCTACTTCCCAGGAAATTTTCTACTTTCAAATAAAAAACAAAACAATATATGCCGAGGTCACTCAAGCACTGGCAACCATCTCCCGCCATCTCCTCAGTTGCTCCACCTGGCCCTGCTCTTGAAACCTGCATCAGTCGCGAGTCTCCATTGCGCGGGAGATTCTGCGACCTGCAGGTCGTCTCTGCTGGTGGTACAGCACCTGGTGCGTCTCTGAAGGGGTGTTCTCCCTCTGATCTCACGTTCTCTGCCTGACACTACTTATGCTGGAGCAGAAGCGGTAAGACAGCCAGCTTGCGGCCCTGCATGCAGACAACTTGGGTTCGAGCCTCAATATCCCATACGGTCCCCCAAGCCCCGCCAGGAGTGACCCCCGAGCACAGAGCCAGGAGTAAGTCCTGAGCACCGCTGCGGTTGTTAAGCGTCTGCCCTGAGGAGGCGTCAGCAAGACCGGTCTCTGGATCTGCCGTCAAGGCTCCTCAGGAAACTTTTTTTTTTCTTTTTGGGTCATACCTGGCGATGTTCAGGGGTTACTCCTGGCTCTGCACTCAGGAATTACTCCTGGCAGTGCTCAGGGACCATATGGGATGCTGGGAATTGAACCCGGGTCGGCTGTGTGTAAGGCAAACGCCCTACCCGCTGTGCTATCGCTCCATCCCTGGGAAAGTTGGTTTTGATTTAAATGTTTATTTTGTTATTTACTTGTTTTTTGATCCACATCTGGTGATGCGCAGGGGTCACTCCTGGCGGTGCTTAGGGAACCATATGGGATGCTGGGGACTGAACCCCGGTCAGCTGTGTACCAGGCAAACACCCTCTGTGCTGTGCTATGGCTCCAGCCCAAGAAACTGCTGGTTTTTAAATTCCACTTTAAGCGCCTAACTAACAGCATCAGGTCAAAACTGGATCTCTAGGTAAAGGCCCAGACTCCCTCCCCAAGCCTCCGGGATCACTCCTGGCAGGGCTCAGGGGACCAGGTGGGGGGCTGGGATTGAACCGGGGTTACCGCGGGCCAGGCGAGCGCCCTCCCCACTAAACTGCTGCTCTAGCCCTCCCTTGGCAGCTGCTCTCCTAGCGAGGAGAGTAGGACTTGTAACAAGGTTGGCAGAGCTCCTGCCAGCTGAGACGCCTCCCCCAGGCCTTCTCCCAGGGCCCTTCCCGCGCCGCTCCTGGCCGTAGGTACGGCCAAGGCTGCCCCTTCTCCCTAGGGCCGCCACTCTGCGGGGATGGAGCCCTCCCCTCCGACTAAACACAGACCCCCAGCCTCTGCCGTGTGCGTGTTTCCGGGTCTGTTTCTGGGTACTCTGCGCTCTGGCGAACTCGAGTCATCGAATTCCCCTCCCCACCAACCTGGGACTTTTTTTTTTCTCTTTGGGTCACACCTGGCAGTGCTCGGGAGACCATACAGGATGCTGGGAATCGGACCCACATCGGCCGTGTGCAAGGCAAACGCCCTACCCACTGTACTATGGCTCCAGCCCCGGAATCTTTTTTTTTTTTTTTTCCCTGAGTAGAAGATCCGAGCCATTGATCTCCCACTGGACCCTTTGGTCAGGGAACCCAGCGCTCTCCAGCCCCCGCCCCCCCCCCCCCCCCCAGGAGCCTGCCGGCCACCTGGGAACAGCCCCACCTGGGAACAGCCCCGGGCTGTGCCCTGAGAACATGTGATTTGGGCCTCACAGGTGGAATGGCTGGGCTGGAGGTCTGTGACCTTCGAGAACTCTCCTCCTTTCCCACGAAGCTGCCCGGAGTGCCTGGCCACCCCCTGGCTGTGGGTTTCTGCTCCAGCCGGGGTGTCCTCCTCGTGGCCAGAACCTGGGGGGGGGGTGGGTCGCGCTGTGCCACGGCCTTTCATCCCTCCCTCCCGCACCTGGGGCTGTGGGTGCCGCCACTGCAGGGCAGGCTTGGGTGGGCACCAGCCCCGCCGACCCCGCGCACGTCCTGCTGTGTCGTGCCTGTCCGTGACACCATGCCCCCCACGACAACCTGCTGCCTCCCCAGCTCTGTCACCTGTCCGAGCCCCCGACGGCGGCGGCGGTGGGCGGGCAGGTGGGCAGGGGGTGGCCCGGCAGGACAGGTCGTGCCAGGCAGGGAGGGCGCTGGGGAAATTCCCCAACTTCTGGGCTGGAGGCCAAAGTCACCGAGGCCGCGGGGGCGGGGCCAGTGGGCCGCCCGGCCCCCGGCGAGGTTCCCAGGCCCGGACCCGCGCGCCCCTGCCCGGAAGCCGCCTCCCGCCGCCGCCGCGTCCCGGGACAGGTGAGCCGGGTGCCGCCCCCCGCCCCGGCCGGGCCCCGCCGCCCCCGCTGCGGCGCTGCCCCTCCCCCTGCCCTCACGCACCGGATACCTTGTAGCAGCAGCAGCTGCACCGCCGCCCGCCGCGTGGACAGGGCGCGGGCCGGGCGCGCCGAGAGCCGCGGGGCCCGGCTGGGGCTGGACGCAGGGGTCCCGGGAGACCGCGCCTCCGCCGCGGCCCTGCCTGCATCCAGCCGGGAGCGGGGCCGGGGGGCTCGGCCGGCAGGTGGGCGCCGTCCGGGCCGGGTGTCACGGACTGCGGGTCGCCGCGTCGCCCGGCGCGGCTGCAGCGTCCACCCGCGGGCGCGGGGCCGGGCCAGGCGGGCGCGTGGCGCGGCGGGGGCCGCGGCCCCGCGGGCAAGGGGGCGCGCGGGTGAGTCGGGGGGCGTCGGCCGGCCGGGCCGGCAGCCGGGCGGGTGGGCGCGGGGGGCGGAGGCCTCCGAAGGGGGGTCGGTCGTGGGGTGGGCTGCGGCCGAGGGGGTGGGGCCGAGGGCTGGGGGCGGAGAGGAGGTGGGCGTGAGCCGGGACCGGCCCGAGGGGTGGGGCCGCAAGGGTGGGCGTCGGCCGGGTCCGAGGGGTGTGGCGGGGGGGGCGGTTGTCGGGGGGCGCGGGCCGGGCCCGGGGGTGGGGCTCGGGCCGGGCTGGGGGCTCGGGCCGGGCGGGGGCGGGGGCGCGGGCGGGCGCTCACCTGCGCCGCCCGCCCTAACCTGGCTTCCGGGGCGGGCCGGGGGCGTTCCGGCGCGGGCGGGGCGGGGCGGGCCGGGGCGGGGCGGACGTCAGGCGCGGGGCCGCGTCCGTCGGCGCGGGCCGGGCTGCCGCAGCGTGCTGGCCGCGCGGGCGGGTCCTGGGCGGCGGCCCCGCGGGGCCGGGCCGGAGCGGGAGGCAGGTAAGGGGCACCTGCGCGCGGCCCCCAGGGGCGCCCCCGGGGGCCGCGCGCACCTGGCCGGAGGGGCCGCGGGGCGCGCGGATGCGTCCCCGCCCGGCCCGGCCCGGCTCGGCCCGGCCCGGCCCGGCCCGGTCCCCGCGCGATCGCCGGCCCGGGGAGGCGCCGCTGCCCGCCCGGGCCGACCGAGCCCGCCGCCGCCTCGTCCCCCTCCTCCCTCCCGTCCCGGTCTCGCCTCATCCCGGTCCCTCCCTCCGCCTTCCTCCTCCTCCTCCTCCTCCTCCTCCTCCTCCCTCTCTCCTCATTTCCCTTCCCGCTGTCCCTGTCGCCTCCCCGGCGGCCTGTCCTCGGCCTCCGCTCCTGCTGCTCGTCCCAGCCCGGGCCCTGCCCAGCCCGCGCCCTCCCCCTCCGGGTCCCGGTGTCCCCAGCCCGCGCCCTCCCCCCCAAACCCCGCGTCCCGGTGTCCCCAGCCCCGCGCCCTTCCCCCACCCGCGTCCCCGGTGGCCCAGCCTCGCGCCCTCCCCCTCCGCGTCCCGGTGTCCCCAGCCCGCGCCCTCCCCCCCAAACCCCGCGTCCCGGTGTCCCCAGCCCCGCGCCCTTCCCCCCACCCGCGTCCCCGGTGGCCCAGCCTCGCGCCCTCCCCCTCCGCGTCCCGGTGTCCCCAGCCCGCGGCCTCCCCCCTCCCGGTGTCCCCGGCCCCGCGCCCTTCCCCCCCTCCCCGGTCCCCGAGGCCCAGCCCCGCGCCCTCCCCCTCCGCGTCCCCGCGTCCCCAGCCCCGCGCCCTCCCCCCCACCCCCCGCGGGTCCCCGTGGCCCAGCCCCGGGTGCAGGCAGGCGCCGGCCCTTGCTGCGGGCGGGCGGGTCTGGGTGTTTATTATTCTCCCTCCTAGCGACATGGCCAAAGGCTGTTTGGGAGCGTCAGTCCCGGTCCCCAGGCCTGGCCCTCTGCAGGGGCCTGAGTGCCTCTGCCCTCCCCCCTCCCCACTCTGGTTCCTCCCCGGTTGTCTGCGGGGGTTTTCTCGAGCCCAGGGGTGCCCCCTTGGGTTGCCCCCTGCCCTGCCTCCTGAGGGTCCTGGATGCTGTCAGGGTGCAGGCACGCATGGGTGGCTCGGGGCAGCTCCCAGCCCCAGGCCCAGCTCAGAGGTGAGCCGGAGTCCCTCCGCAGCCTTCCCACGGGGACAGCCTACCCTGCCCCTTCCTGGGCTGTCCCCAACATAGCCCCCAGCTCAGCAGGAGAAGACGCTGCTGCCAGGGCCTGGGGGTCTGTCTGTTTGGGTCTGGGGTCCTTCTGTCTGGGCCTGGGGGTCGTCTGTCTGGGCCTGGGGGTCCGTCTATCTGGGCCTGGGGGGTCTGTCTGTCTGTCTGGGCCTGGGGGTCCATCTATCTGGGCCTGGGGGTCTGTCTGGCTGGGTGTGTGTCGAGGTCTCTGGGCTACTGCTGTTGTGTTTGCTGGGACCAGTTGTCTTCCTGTGTCTTTGCTGGGTGTCTGTCTGTCTATCTCTGCTGTGTATCTGTCTGGGTCCTGGGCATCTGGGCCCAAGGTGTCTGAATGTCTGTCTGGGCGCTAGGTGTCTGTCTGTACCATGGGTGTCTGTCTGTCTGGACTCCGGGTGTCTATCTGTCTGGACCCTGGGTGTCTCTATCTGGGCCCTGGATGTCTGTCTGTCTGGACTCCAGGTCTGGGGGTCTGTCTGTCTGGGCCTGGGGGTCTGTCTGTCTGGGTCTGGGGTCTGTCTGTCTGGGCCTGTGGTCCATCTGTTTGGGCCTGGAGTCCGTCTGTCTGGGCCTGGGGGCTCTGTCTGTCTGGCCTGGGTGTGTGTCAGGGTCCCTGCTGTCTCTGGGCTACTGCTGTTGTGTTTGCTGGGACCAGTTGTTTGTCTGTTTCTGCTGGGTGTCTGTCTGTCTGGGTCTCTGCTGTGTATCTGTCTGGGTCCTGGTTTTCTGGGCCCCGGGTGTCTGAATGTCTGTCAGGTCTCTGCTGTGTGTCTGTCTGGGCCCCAGGTATCTATCTGGGCCCTGGGTGTCTGTCTGTCTGGGTCTCTGCCTTGTGTCTGTCTGGACCCCGGGTGTCTGTCTCTCTGGCCCCAGGGTGTCTCTCTGTCTGGACCCCGGTGTCTGTCTGGGCCCTGGGTTTCTGTCTGTCTGGGTCTCTGCCTTGTGTCTGGCTGGACCCCGGGTATCTGTCTGAACCCCGGGTGTCTGTCTGTCTGGGCCCTGGGTGTCTCTGTCTGGACCCCGGGTGTCTTGTCTGTCTGGGCCCTGGGTGTCTGTCTGGGTCTCTCTGCCTTGTGTCTGTCTGGACCCCGAGTGTCTGTTTGTCTGGGTCTCGGGTGTCTGTCTGTCTGGACCCCAGGTGTCTGTCTGGGCGCCGGGTGTCTGTCTGTCTGTCTGGGCTCCGGGTATCTGTCTGTCTGGGCCCTGGGTGTCTGTCTGTCTGGGTCTCTGCCTTGTGTCTGTCTGGACCCCGGGTGTCTGTCTCTCTGGATCCAAGGTGTCTCTCTGTCTGGACCCCGGTGTCTGTCTGTCTGGGCCCTGGGTGTCTGTCTGTCTGTCTGGGTCTCTGCCTTGTGTCTGACTGGACCCCGGGTGTCTGTCTGGACCCCAGGTGTCTGTCTGGGCCCTGGGTGTCTGTCTGTCTGGACCCAGGGCGTCTGTCTGTCTGGACCCCAGGTGTCTGTCTGGGCCCTGGGTGTCTGTCTGGACCCCAGGTGTATGTCTGTCCAGGCTCCGGGTGTCTGTCTGTCTGGGCCCCGGGTGTCTCTCTCTCTGGGTCTCTGCCTTGTATCTGTCTGGACCCTGGGTGTCTGTCAGGGCCCCGGGTGTCTGTCTGGGCCCCGGGTGTCTGTCTGTCTGGACCCTGGGTGTCTGTCAGGGCCCCGGGTGTCTGTCTGTCTGGACCCCAGGTGTCTGTCTGGGTGCCGGGTGTCTGTCTGTCTGGACCCCAGGTGTCTGTCTGTCTGTCTGGGCTCCGGGTATCTGTCTGTCTGGGCCCTGGGTGTCTGTCTGTCTGGGTCTCTGCCTTGTGTCTGTCTGGACCCCGGGTGTCTGTCTCTCTGGATCCAAGGTGTCTCTCTGTCTGGACCCCGGTGTCTGTCTGTCTGGGCCCTGGGTGTCTGTCTGTCTGTCTGGGTCTCTGCCTTGTGTCTGACTGGACCCCGGGTGTCTGTCTGGACCCCAGGTGTCTGTCTGGGCCCTGGGTGTCTGTCTGTCTGGACCCAGGGTGTCTGTCTGTCTGGACCCCAGGTGTCTGTCTGGGCCCTGGGTGTCTGTCTGGACCCCAGGTGTATGTCTGTCCAGGCTCCGGGTGTCTGTCTGTCTGGGCCCCGGGTGTCTCTCTCTCTGGGTCTCTGCCTTGTATCTGTCTGGACCCTGGGTGTCTGTCAGGGCCCCGGGTGTCTGTCTGGGCCCCGGGTGTCTGTCTGTCTGGACCCTGGGTGTCTGTCAGGGCCCCGGGTGTCTGTCTGTCTGGACCCCAGGTGTCTGTCTGTCTGGGCTCCGGGTATCTGTCTGGTCTCTCTGTGTGTCTGTCCGGGTCCCTTTGGTGCGGCTGGGTAGCTGCTGTGGTCTCAGCGAGGCCTCTTGGGGTTGTTGCCCGTCTTCCTCCGAAGGCCCATCTCCCGAGGCCTGTCCCGACTGCCCCCTCGATGCCCAGGTGTGGCTGAGCTCCCCGGGCCACCCGATGCGCGCCCCACGGCACCTTACCCCCCGGCCCCGCGTTTCTAGGGGCGGCCATGTGGGCGCTGTCAGCCCAGTGACCACTCAGCCAGTGCCCGGAAGGGAGGTGAGGGCAGGCTGCTGGGTGCCGGGGTCTCAGGGCTCGCACCCCACAGGCCAGCCGGGCCGTGCCCCGCCGCGATGAGCGTCACGTCGTGGTTCCTGGTGAGCAGCAGCGGCACGCGGCACCGCCTCCCGCGGGAACTCATCTTCGTGGGCCGTGATGAGTGCGAGCTCATGCTGCAGGTGCGTGAGGGGCCTGTGAGGCGCGGGCGCCCCGTGGTGGGGGGCGGGGGAGTCCCCTGTGATCGGGGAGAGGTGCCCCTCCGTGGTGCCCCTGTTCGCAGACGTGAAGCTTCTAGCGAGTTCTGCGGAAGGTGCTGGGCGGCCTGGGGCACGCGTGGCTCAGGGGCTGTCAGGTTCTGCGCAGGCGCTGCAGGCCCTGCGCCCCCCCACTTGGTGCTCCTGCAGGGGGCGGCAGATGGGGGTCTCCCCGTCCGTGCACCCCCGCGTCTCAGCCCCTCGAGGCCTGAGGAGAGGAGAGCCCTCCCTGGCCCGCAGCCCCTGGACAGCGGGTGCTGGAGGGTCCGTGACCCTCGTGACTGTCGGTGGGACACGGATGCGCAGAAGCGGCCGGGCTGGGGGTGCGCGTGGGCCTGGCTGGGCAGGGTTCTGCGCTGGCTTTTGGGGCGGTCAGGAGGGCTTTTTGGAGGCGGGGGTCCGCCCCAGCCTTTCCCGGCGGGAGTCTGTGCAGATGCCCCTTTGGGGGGGGGGAGCCGGGATCCTGAGCAGGTGGCCCTGCATTCCTGGGGGGCCCGCCCACTGGCCACGCCCCTGGGCGGTGCCCGGTGACTCAGTGTGGCCCTCGCTCCGCCCCTTCCCTGGGCCCCGACGAACGGGCACCCCCCAGCGGTGGCTCTGGGGGCCCTCATGCCCGCCCCCCCCCACGCAGCTCCCCAACGTCATCGCCGGGCCAGAGAGGTGGCCGCGGTGTGGGATTGGGGCGGGGCGGGGGTGGGTGGGGTCCCCCTGCTCCTGGGCGCCCAGGTGCGGGTCCAGCGCTCTCTGAGCTGGCGGGGGTGTTGAGTCTTCCTGGGACTCTGCGCGCCCTGGGCAGGGGGTCACGCAGAGACTGCGGCCAGGACCTGCCCAGGGGTCCCCAGCATCAGCCGGCAGGGCGGGGTTTGTGGCAGGGGCTGTGCGTGCCCTACTAGTCAGAGGCGCCCCAGCCGGCCTGGGTGCGTCCCCGCCCAGAGGTCAGGCCCAGGGCCAAGGTGGGTGGGAGGGGCAGGGAGGCCCCAGGGGTTGTGGCTCACCACAAGACTGGCCTTGCCTCCTGGCGTGTGGGGAAGCTCTGGAAGGTTCCATGGAGAGTGTGGGCAGGGCCTGATGTAGCCAGGCCAGGGTAGCCAGGCCAGGGCAGCCGGCAGGGTGCGAGGGCCAGGGCCGGTGGGCATCGGTGCTCAGTGCTCACAGCCTTGGGCACTTGGCCGTGCTCCCGTAGGAGGGGTGCCAAGGCAGCCTGGCAGGGGAGTTAGACTCGGGGTGCTGGAACGCGACTGGGTAGTACGGAGTTGGTGGGCTTGGGGAGTGGTGTTTTGGGGGGCTCCCAGCAGTGCCAGGGCCTGAACCCAGGGCTCCGTATGACCAGCCTGAGCTCGATGTGGGACCATTTCCCCGGGAGAGGGAGCCCGAGGGTGTCCAAATTACTGTGTGCAGGGTCAGCCCCGGGCCCTGCCCTCAATCTGATCACTCTCACGGTCAGCCCCAGGCCCGCAGACCACTGCTTGCAGAGGTGCGGCTGGCCTGCCGGGGAGAGAGCTTTCCCCTGCGCCCTGGCCTGGCCCGGGTGCAGACCCCGCTCTTTCCTAGCCCCCCTTGCTGAGATGCTGCTCTGAGGGGTAGGTGGGTGAATGCCGGGGCCACCTGGAGCCCAGATCTGGGGGCATAGGGCGGGAGGGAGTGTCTTCTCAGCCGCGTCCGTCCCCTCCAGATGCCCCCGTCCCTGGCGGAGGCTTCGGGGCCAGGCCCTGCTGTAGCCGGCACGGAGCCTGAGGCACTGTGGACAGGCCTGGTCCTGCCACCCCCACACCGGGGCTGGACTCGGGCTTCGGGGACCTCCCTGTGCTCGCCAGGACCGACCCTCAGTCACCACCAGAGCTGGGCAGGGGGACCAGCTCCCGCTGTGCCCTGTGAGCCTGTGTGTGAGCACGTGTGAGCTGTGAGAGCCTGTGTGTGTCGAGAGCGTGGGCTGTGCGTGTAGGCGTGTGTGAACAGGTGAGTGTGAGTTGTGAGAGCGTGTGTTGACAGCATGGGCTGTGTGTGTGTGGGCGTATGAGTGAACATGTGTGAGCTGAGCGAGCGTTTGTGTGAGCACGCTGAGTGTGGGCTGTGTGTGTGAGCACGCGTGAGCCGAGAGCATGTGTGGAAGCATGTTAAGCGCGTGGGCTGTGTGTGCATAAGCATGTGAGCATGTCAGTGTGTGCGTAAGCATGAGCGCGTGTGTGAGCATACTGAGAGCATGGGCTGAGTGTACGCGTGTGTGAACATGTGTGAACCTGAGTGTGAGCTGTGCATGTGTGAGCGTGAGCTGTGCGAGTATGTGCGTGTGTGAACATGTGTGAACCTGTGAGCGAGGACTGTGCGTGTGCGTGAGTGCACATCAGGGCACACATGTGCCAGGAGTGGCCAGCACCCTGGGGGGTGGGGCAGGGACAGCTCCGGCCAGCTGGGTGCAGCCTCGGCGTCTCCATCCCGGCGCTGGACTCTGCCCCTGCCAGGCCTGGGTGGGGACGTGTGTCCCGGCCGCGCCCACGGCTCCTGGGAGCTGCTGTAGGGACGGGGCAGCAGCTTGGCTGCCGGTGGCTGCGTCTGGAGGAACCGGCTCTGCCGTCTCGGGAACCCCTGGGGCCTACTTTGGGGTTACTGGGACGCGGGGGTGGTGAGGCCACTGAGGGCCTCATGTCCCCCCAGTCCCGCAGCGTGGACAAGCAGCATGCCGTCATCAACTACGACCACGACCAGGACGAGCACTGGGTGAAGGACTTGGGCAGCCTGAATGGGGTGAGTGTCCGCCCCGGGTCCCGCACACACCCCTCCACGCCCACTGCCACGGGGCCCCAGCTCCCAACAGGCTGCCCTCACGCTCAGGAGTTACACTGGTCCCTTGGGCACTGGTGGCCCTTTGGCCGGACCCCAGCGCCTTGGTCCTGTGGTCTGTGGGAAGTGGGCATGTGGGCGGGCACTGCTGGGCAGGGGCCACCAGCTCTGCCCTGTGCTATCCCCCAGACGTTCGTGAACGATGTGCGCATCCCGGACCAGAAGTACATCACACTCAAGCTGAACGATGTCATCCGCTTCGGCTACGATATCCTCCCTGTGGCCGGGAGCGGGCGCGGCAGTGACCAGGGCTCTGCCAGGACGCCCACCACAACCAGCACCTGCGTCCCGAGCACTGGGTGTGGGCTGTGATACAGCTGGGGGAACCCCGGGTGCTGGGCTGGAATCATGGGGTGCCCGCGTGGGGGTAGAGGGGTGTCTGGGGCTCCCGGATTTCTTAGTCTCTCAGCGTCCTGCCCGAGAGGGGCCGGTGGTGCCGGTGAGCTCGGCAGCCCCCGGTGTGTGCCAGGTGCCCACGCACAGGCCCCGTCCGTGCCCTTGGCTGGGCCGCTTCTCGTGCTCCTTAACTCCAAGCCACATTCCAACATGTACGTGCTGGAGCGTGTGCAGCACCAGGTTCCCGAGGAGGCGCTCAGGGTCAGTGCTCAGCCCCACGTCCTTCCTGTCCTGCGCGCCTGTCAGGTGTCTCCTCTTCCCTGCCCTTTGGTGCCGGCCTGGGCCGGCATGGGGGCTCCCAGACGGTCATGTGTGGGGGTCCCTGCATGAGGTGCCAGCAGCACCGGGAAGGGGAGACCTGACCCTGTCACTCAGACGGGCCCTGTGGGGTCAGACTGCAGGGACGCGTGCATGTGTGCACACAGCACACACAAGTTTACACAGCACATATGTGTGCCACACATGCAAGTGCAGATACATGCTTCATCATGCACACACACGTGTGCACACAATGGCATATCACAGTGTGCACACACATGGATGCACATGTATGTGAACATGGAACATGCATGTGTAAGCACACACGAAATGCACCTGTGTACTGCGCAGACATGCAGCACCTGCAAGGCCCATATGCACAGGGTTCATGTTCACGGCACTCCCACATGCACACGATTACACATGCATGCACACCGTGTGCAGGCACCTGGTGACGGTATGTCTCTAAGTACTCAGGTGCCTGCGTGTGACTGGGTATCCCACCTGCCCCCTCGGTGCACAGCCGCACAAACCGTCACCCACAGTGCCCAAACCCTTGGGTACATGTCCTCCTGCCCGAGCCTCCGTGGGGGGTGGCCTCCCTTCTCAGGGTGGTGAGGAGCCTGCCCTGGCTGCGCTGTTCACTGTGCCCGCCCACAGCACGAGAAGTACAGCCACCAGCTGCGGGGCAGCACCAGGGGCCCGGCGCCCAAGCGGGAGGAGAACTTGCCCGAGAACCCGCCCTACTGCGAGGCGCTGAGCACCAGGCCGGACAAGGGCGACCGGAGGCCAGCGACAGGTAGGGCCAACCCTCCCGGGGCCCCTAGAGCGGCAACTGCCCCCCCCCCCGCCCACGGTCACGCGGGGCGCGGTCTCCTTCTGCAGATGCGGCCACCTACCGTACCCCGCTGTACGGGCAGCCGTCCTGGTGGGGTGAGGACGACGGCCCCCCGCAGCCCGGGGAGCCACGCCAGGAGGACCCCCGCCCAGGTAGGGCCTGCCACAGGGTGGGTGGGCCACGCCCCCAGCCTCAGGACTGAGCGCCGTCGTTCCGCCCTCCCCCCATAGAGCGCCCCAAGGAGCAGGGCCCATCCGAGGGGGAGCCGCCCGCGGCGATGCCGGGTTTCCGGGCGCACACAGAGCCCCCCGGCTGCCCCATCCGCCGCGAGCCCAGCTACTTCGAGATCCCCACGAAGGAGGCCCCGCCGCCCCTGCCACCGCCCTCACCGCCGCGTGCCACTGAGGGTGTGGCCCCCGAGGCGCCCCCAAAGGACGCGCCCCCGGGCGGGGGCACAGCGGCCCCCGTGGTGCAGAGCCACGCGTCGTTCACCATCGAGTTCGACGAGTGCAGCCCCGGCAAGGTGAAGATCCGGGACCACGTCACCAAGTTCGCGCTGCGCCCGCGGCGGGCCCCGGGCAAGGCCCCGGCGCCCCCCGAGGCGCTGTCCGCTGAGAGCAAGGTGGCCGACTGGCTGGTGCACAACGACCCCAGCCTGCTGTGCCGCACCGGCGCAGGGGACGCGGGGGACGGCAGCCACAGCACCAAGAGCGACGTTCCCGTGCACACCCGCACGCTCAGGGGTGAGCGCGGGCCGCGCGCGCTTGGGGGACCCCGGGGTCGGCCTCGGTGGCCTGGGGCTGACGCCTCGCGGTCCAATCCCCCCAGGCCACAAGCATGAGGACGGCACGCAGAGCGACTCGGAGGACCCCGCGGCCAAGGCGGCGGCCCCCGAGGGCAGCGGACCAGGGGGCAGCGGCAGTGGCGAGCCGGGGCGGTTGCAGCGGCAGATCAAGCGCGACCCCCGGGACCTGCTGCACAACCAGCAGGCCTTCGTCATCGAGTTCTTCGACGACGACACGCCGCGCAAGAAGCGCTCGCAGTCCTTCACGCACGCGCCGGCCGGGGACGCCAAGGCCGACCGGCGCCGAGGCCCGGGCCCTGGCGAGCGCGAGCGCGCGCGGGCGGCGGGCAGCGGCCCTGGGGGTCCCCAGCGCGCCAGCTCGCTCAAGCGCGAGAAGACGGAGGAGCGGCTGGGGACCCCCGCCACGGCGCGCGCCGTCCGGCCCTTCGGCAGCGTGGGCCGCCGCTCCCGCCTCGCGCAGGACTTCGTGGCCCAGTGCCTGCGGGAGGGTTCCCCGGCCGCCCGCGGCGACCCCGAGAAGGCGCCCCCCAGCCCATCACCGCCGCCGCCGGCCGACCCCCAGCTGGCCAAGGCGCGCAAGCAGGAGGAGGACGACAGCCTCAGCGACGCGGGGACCTACACCATCGAGACGGATGCGCAGGACCAGGAGGTGGAGGAGGCACGCAAGATGATCGATCAGGTGCGCGCGCGCCCGGGGCTGCGGGGGGCCTGGAGCGAGGCGGGGGCTGCGCGCTGACCGGCGCCCGCGTCTGTCCCCGCTGCAGGTCTTCGGGGTCCTGGAATCGCCCGAACTCTCCAGGACGTCCTCAGCCACCATCCGCCCGGTCATCAAAGGGGACAGAGACGAGGGCGGTGACGGGGCGGTGGCCCAGCGCCTGGCTCTCCTGCAGGGCTTTGCCTCCCGGACTGCGGGCATGACCGGTGCCGGGGAAGCCCAGGTAGGGCCTGCAGGCCGGCGGGCTTGGGCTCTGCCAGCCCCAGGGGACCGGCCAACGAGTAAGGGGAAGGGAGGAGGCCTCACCGGAAAGGGGCCGGTGGCAGGACCACCTGGCTGCTCCCGCGGCCTGACCCAGGGGCTGGTGTGCGTCCTTTTGTGGGGGACGTGGTTCTCCGGGGGCGTGTTCCTGCATGCGTTCGTGCTCCGGTGAGGGCGTGTTCGTGCGTGCGTGCGTGCGTGCGTGGGGGCGTATTCCTTTGTGCTCCAGCTTCTGTGGGGGTGTATTGCTGTGTGCGTGCTCCTCTGGGGGCGTGTTCTTGCATGTATTCCTGCTCTGGTGGGGGCGTGTTCTTGCGTGCATGCGTGCTTCTCTGGGTATGTTCCTGCGTGCTTGCATGCGTCTGTGGGCGTGTTCCTGCGTGTGTGCGTGCTTCTGTAGGGGCGTATTCCTGTGTGCTCCTGCTTCTGTGGGGGTGTATTGCTGTGTCTGTGCACCTCTGGGGGCATGTTCCTGCGTGAGCTTGTGCTTCTGTGGAGGTGTGTTCCTGTTTGCGCTGCGCTTCTATGGGGGCGTGTTCCTCTGGGCATGTGTGCCCTCTGGGGGCGTGTTCCTGCGTCAGTGCGTGCTCCTGTGGGGGCGTGTTCCTGTGTGCGTGCGTGCGTGCTCCTGCGGGGAGGGGGCGTGTTCCTGCGTACGTGCGTGTGGGCTTCTGTGGGCGTGTTCCTGCGTGCGTGCTTGTTTCTACTAGGCATGTTCCTGCGTGCACACGTGCTTCTGTGGGCGTGTTCCTGCGTGCGTATGTGCTACTGTGCGGGCGTATTCGTGTGTGCTCCTGTTTCTTGGGGTGCATTGCTGTGTTCCTGCATGCGTGCGTGCTCCTCTGGGGGCGTGTTCCTGCATGCATGCGTGCTCTGGTGGGGGCGTGTTCTTGCATGCATGCGTGCTTCTCTGGGTATGTTCCTGTGTGCATGCATGCGTCTGTGAGCGTGTTCCTGCGTGTGCGTGTGCTTCTGTGGGGGCGTATTTCTGTGTGCTCCTGCTTCTGCGGAGGTGTATTGCTGTGTGCGTGCTCCTGTGGGGGCTGTTCCTGCATGCGTGCGTGCTTCTGGGGGGGGCGTCTTCTTGCGTGAGCTCGTGCTTCTGCGCAGGTGTGTTCCTATTTGCGCTGCGCTTCTATGGGGGCGTGTTCCTCTGTGCATGTGTGCCCTGCGGGGGCGTGTTCCTGCATCGGTGCGTGCTCCTGTGGGGGCGTGTTTCTGTGTGCGTGCTTGTGTGCGTCTGTGGGCGTGTTCCTGCGTGCGTGCTTGTTTCTACGAGGCATGTTTTTGCGTGCACGCGTATTTGTGTGGGCGTGTTCCCACGTGCGTATGTGCTTCTGTGCGGGCTTGTTCGTGTGTGCTCCTGCTTCTGTGGGGTGCATTGCTGTGTTCCTGCATGCGTGCGTGCTCCTCTGGGGGGCGTGTTTCTGCGTGTGTGCGTGCGCCTGTGGGGGCGTGTTCCTGCGTGTCTGCATGCGTCTAGGGGGCCTGTGATTCCGTGGGAGTGTGGGGGAGCAGACAGCGGTCTCCGGCGTGGCTGCTGTCGGATGCGCGTGACGGCGGCCTGGCACCCGCTCCTCTTCTCTCTCGTGCAGGGCCTCCCGCTGCCAGGCTCCCCCGGCAGCCAGAAGTGGGTGTCCCGCTGGGCCAGCCTGGCTGACAGCTACTCGGACCCGGACCTGGCCGGTGAGCAGCTCCACTGCTCCGTGGGGAGGCGGTTAGTTGCCGGCACAGGCCGCTGCCTAAGGGTGGCGCTAGGCCTGAGGTCACTCTGCTTCTCTGCCCTTCCAGATGACGGCCCTGGGCGCCGGGCGGGGGACCCCGAGGGGGCCCTGCCTGCACGCCAGCGGCGCCTGCTCCCCCAGCTGCCCAGCGACCGGTCCGACAGCCCCGCGGGCCCTGAGGCTGCCAGGAGGAGTGGCCCTGGCCCCCCGGAGCCATCCCGCGAGCAGGCCGGCCGCTTCGTGGGCCAGGAGGACCTGGAACCCGACAGCCTCAGTGATGCCAGCGGGTCGGATGGTGGTCGCGGCCACGAGCCGAGTGGGGGTCCCCAGGAGGAGAGCCGCAAGAGCCCGCAGGAGGGTCTGGCGTGGACGAGGGGCCGGCGCTCCCCCAGGACCCCCGGGGAGCCAGCTCCCACGGCTTTCTTTGTCGGGGACCAGCACGGCGAGGCCGCCTTCCCCAGGAAGCCGGGGGTGGCCTGCGGGGACGCGGAGGGCCCGGGGCGGGCGGCGCAGCCCGGCGGCCCGGCCAGGGACGGCGTGTACGTCAGCGCCAGCGGGCGACTGGTGCTGCAGCTGCGGGCTGGGCGCTCCCCCGAGCCCGAGCGGCCGCCGGCCCCCGAGGCGCTGACCGTCGTGCGCCAGGAGAGCTTCACCAAGGAGCCGAGCAGCGGCCCCCCGGCGCCCGGCCCGCTCCCGCACATCCCCAGCCACCCGCTGCTGCAGGACCTGGCGTCCACCCGCGCCGCGCGCATGGAGCTGCGCTCGCAGGACACGCAGCTGTTTTTGCGGGAGACCGAGACCGCCCTGGCCGCCCTCGAGGCCCAGCTTCTGTCCAAGGCGGCCGAGGCGCCCGCGCGTCCCGAGGACTCGCTGTCCGGGGACTCCGACGTGGACACGAGCAGTACCGTGAGCCTGCTCAGCGGCACGCATGGGGCCAGCCCGGTGGGGCTTCCGAAGGACAAGCTGCCGTCCCCGCCCGCGGCACCGGACCCCGCGGCGGGCGCGCCCTGCAGCCCGCAGGCCCGGCCCGGGGAGAAGCAGCGGCATCTCGCAGGCGCGCCGGACACAGGCCGGGCCGAGCCCGCGCGCCGCCTGGCCGTGCGGCGTGGCCCCGCGCCCCGCGGCTCCCTGGACTGGCCGGACGAGGAGCGAAACTGTGGCGTCGCGCACCCGGCCGGCTCCGACACGGTCCCCTCGGACACAGAGATCCCCGCAGCCGGGCGCACCGTGCCTCGCCGGAGGCCGCAGGCCCCCGCGCCGGTCTCCGCCCCCCGGGAAGAGCAGACTCGGGGTTCCAGCAGCGTGCAGAAGGTCCAGCAGGCGCTGACCCGCTCCAACAGCCTGTCCACCCCGCGGCCCACACGGGCCTCTCGGCTCAGGCGGGCCCGGCTGGGGGACGCCTCGGACACAGAGGCCGGAGACGGTGAGCGGGGGCACCCCGAGCCCCCGGCCCGCCCGGCCGCCGAGCAGACCAAGAAGCTGTCCCGCCTGGACATCCTGGCCATGCCCCGGAAGCGGGCCGGCTCCTTCACGGGGTCCAGTGACACGGAGCCCACCCCCCGCTCGGGCTTCTCGGGCCGCAGCGTCGAGTCGTACTGTGCCAGCCGCAAGCCCACCGTGGCCGAGGCCCGCGCCGCCGCCAGGAAGACCGCCGGCACCAGTGCCCCCCGCCAGCCCTTCAGCAGGGCGCGGCCGGGCAGTGCGCGCTACTCCACCAGTGAGTGCTAGGGGCTGGGGCTTCCTGTGGCGGCGTGGGTGGGGGGCTGGGCCCACAGGGGTCTGATCTGCACGTGGGGAGGGCGCTGCGGGGCAGGAAGCGGCCAGCCCCAGCCGGCAGGGGCCCCCGAGCGTCGCCTCCTTCAGCAGGAGCGGGCGTCCGCCGAGCCCCGAGCTGCCTTGCGCTTGGGGGATGCAGGGTGAGGGGTCAGCACTGGGGTGGGGAGCACTGGGCTGAGACCCCTGAGCTCGTGGCACTGCTCCCCTTTGCCGAGCGCGGCCGTGTAGGGGCGGCCGCCCCGCCAGGCAGCCCCCTGCACCCCGCCTGCCCCATGCGTGCGACCCCCGGAGCTCAGCGCCCTCCGCTCTGCTCTCGCCCTCGGCACCCCCAGACACGCGGCGCCGTCAGCAGGGATCCGACTGTGCGTCCACGTCAGAGGAGGAGTCCGGCTCCCATCAGGGCTCCCCCAAACACACGCGCCCCCGTGCCTCAACAGCCACGCAGACCCCGCGGGCCGGCAGCTCTGGCCGCAGCCGGACCCGGGCCCCGGGCCTCCGGGACACCGACGACGAGGAGGAGGGGGCCGACCCCTACGGCTTCCTAGTGCAGACGGCTGAGATTGCCGAGATCGCCAGGTGCGGCGCCGGGGTGCTTGGGGGGCATATCGTGGGGCCCTGTGGGTGGGGGTGCAGGACCCCCTCTCCCACCCCTGGGGGGTCTCCGGGAGGGGCACGGGGCCAGAGGAAGGGGCGGGGGAGGCTTGGGGAGGTGTGGAGCCGGGGCAGATAGGGGTGTTGAGGGGTAAGGGGGTGGGAGTGGCCAGGCTGGGCGGGGTCAGGGTCCCGGGGGCCTCCAGGAGTGAGGGGAGGGACTGGGAGGGACCACTGCCGTGCTGGCCCAGGGCGGGAGTGTGTTCCAGGGGTGGGCGGAGGAAGGGGCCCCCACCTCTCAGGGGTCCCACTCTGACCCTCGGTGGCTCCGCCCTTTCCGGGTCTGCGGGCAGAGTCGGGGAGAGGGCAGCCCGGGTGGCTGCTGGGTGGTGCTGGGCCAAGACCCCCTCTCCCACCCCAGGGGGGTCTCCGGGAGGGGCGCGGGGGAGCTGCTGCCCAGAGCTTGCCATCTCCTGCCGCAGGCTGAGCCAGACGCTGGTGAAGGACGTGGCCATCCTGGCCCGGGAGATCCACGACGTGGCCGGGGACAGCGATACGCTGGGGCCCCCGCACGGTGTGCCCAGCAGCCCAGCTTCCACCATCTCCGCCCACGAGGAGGTCAGCAGCCCCGATTCTGGGGGGCGGGGGGCGTTCAGAGCCACGGCTGCCATGCAGCGCCGAGACCCTCTTGCCGGCGCTCAGCGGCGCTTCTGCTCCTGCAGCTGGTGCCACGCATCCCCGAGGCCAGCCTCAACTTCCAGAAGGTGCCCCCCGGCGCGCTGAGCTCTCAGGACTTGGACCAGAACATGAACAGCAGCCGCGAGGACCCCGCAACGCACAGGACGCGGCCGTGGAGCCGCGAGGAGGCAGGTGTCCGGGCGGGCACGGGAGGCCGGGGCTCCCCGGGCCGTGCTGACCCCCGTTCCCCCAGGTGATCTTCGACAACCTGATGCTGAACCCCGTGTCCCAGCTGTCGCAGGCCATCCGCGAGAACACGGAGCAGCTGGCTCAGAAGATGAAGTGAGTGGGCGCGGGGGGCCAGGCCGGGCGGGCAGCGGGCGCCGGGCGAGGACCCATGGCCTGTCTGTGTGCGCGGGCAGGATCCTCTTTCAGAACTCGGGTCGCGCCTGGGAGGACCTGGAAGCCCGGATCAATGCGGAGAACGAGGTGCCCATCCTGAAGACGTCCAACAAGGTGGGGCCCGCTCCGGAAGTCCCGCCCCTGCGCCTCCCCAGGCCACGCCCCCGCCCTACCCAGTGCTCCCAGGCCCTGCCTCACCCCGCCCCCATGCTCCCTGGCCCCACCCAGTGCCCCTAGGCCACGTCCCCGCCCCGCCCGAAGTGCTCCCCAGGCCCCACCCCTCTCCCCCCAGTGCTCCCCAAGGCCCCTCCTGAGTGCTTCCATTTGGCCCATGGGCACTGTGAGGCTCTGGTGCCCTGGTTCCACACCCCCCCTCTTCCAGGAGATCAGCTCCATCCTGAAGGAACTGCGGAGGGTGCAGAAGCAGCTGGAAGGTGGGTGCGGCTCATTCAGGGCGCTGGGGCGCTCGGGAACTGGGGACCACAGGCACTTCCTGAGGTTCTTTGGGTGCAGGAGGCAGTAAGGGCCCTGGCTGGCCTGACCCTCTCCTCTCCCCTCCCCAGTCATCAATGCCATCGTGGACCCCAGCGGGAACCTGGACCTGCTGGCCGGAAGCCGGGGCTGTGGGGGCCCCGTGGGGAAGAGCCGGCTGGTGGCCCCCAACCCGTCCTCGCCGCCTTCAGCCCTGCCCCTGCGCGGCTTCCCTCCGCGGGCCTCCTGCGGCTCCCCGGGCCTCCCCGACTTCCTGCCTGACTCTGAGAGGTTCCTGATCTAGGGGTCCACGGACCCCTCCCCATGAAGACCCCACACGTGCCATACCCTGTGGGCGGGGCCTAGCGCCCAGCCCACCCCACTCCCCCTGACCGTCCATCCCATGGCCCCCTCGCCCTGCCCACTGGCCCGGCCCAGCTCCTGTTGCGGCCGCTGCCAGGGGCCCACCGCCACCCGGCATCGCTGTTCTTTTGTCTTTAGCTTTAAAGGAAAGTGTCTGTCCCTGTGATGCGGAGCCCACGTGCGCCCTCGCCTGTCTGGCCCTGCGCGGGGGCCGGCCCGGCCGGGGCCAGGGGGGCTGGCTGTGTGACTCCTTCGGTGCCAAACTCCAGGTGGGTGCCGCCCAGCCCCGGCCTGCGCTGAGAAGGCGCCCCTGGAGCGGCACAGCTCTGCCACTCTCGTGCCAACACACAACTGCCAAACGCAGGGAGGGGCGCGGGCGGCCTGGGAGCTGGGGGCCCCTGAGAGCCGCGGCCAAGTGAGGGGAGAAGAGAATTCCAGAAGGTCCGAGGCCGGCTGTTGTGATTTCTCAGGATGTTCTCCATGGGAACCCTCAGCGAGCAGAGCTCCCCCCGGGGACCCAGGGGTCCGGAGCCCGGAAGCCAAAGAGTCAGAGGGCCGCGGGGGGGGCCGGGCTGGCGCCCGTCGATTGTGTTTACTTGTTGAGGGGGTTAGCGCGGGGCCCGGGGCCCATGTTTACGTGTGTGAGTGCAAGGGTGCCCAGCCCCCAGTGCCAGTCGGAGAGGCGCTGCCCCCCCATGCCTGCTGCCCCTCTCCCTGGGCCCCCGCGGCTCTGACCTGGTTGCTGCTCCGAGCCCCCCACGCCGTGAGCTCAGGTGATCTATGGACGTCTTTCAGAGAATGGTTATTTTATATGATTTGTCATTCATCTGGTCAATAAATCATTCTTCTATCGCACGCCGTGTCTAACGCGGAGGTGGGTTTGTGCCTGGGGGTGCGGGAGCGGGGATTGGGCCCAGCTGGGCTCCTGGGTCCCCTCTGACGCCGGGCACACACGGCCGCAAGGGGGCGGCCTGGAGCCAGCTGCTCTCCTGTTTGTCTGCCCGGGGCCCCTGCTGTACCCCCAGGGCTGCCCCCAGCTCTGGGGCATAGGGGAGAGCCTGGACGCCCTGCAGTTCCGCATTCCCCGGGCAGGTGCGGTGGGTGCCCGGGCCCCAGCAGGCCGCCTCCTGCACGTTGACAGTGAGTCAGCGCCAGCATGACGAGGCCCTCGGGAAGCAGAGAAGCCCAGCACCCCTGGCCCCGTGGCCCCCTCTAGGAGCAGGGAGGAAGCGGGGGCACGCGGAGGAGGGCGTTGCGGGGTGTCCATGCCACCACGGAGGGGGCCAGTGAGTCCCAGGCACAGTTATGGCCCCTCATGGATGGCGCCCGAGATGGAGGCGAGGGAGGAAAGCCTCAAGGAAACGGCTCCGTCCTCTACCCGCCCGGCTCGGGCACCTGGTGAACTGCCCAGGGCCAGGACGAGGAAAGTACCCGAGACCCCCCCCCCCCAGTCCCACCGGGTAAAGCGGCAGACTCAGACTGTAGTGAGGAATCTCTGGGAAACAGGAAAGTTGGGCCTGACCCCTGCCCTGGCTTGCTGTTGTCGGGGGGCACCCAGCAATGCTCAGGGGTGACTCCTGACTCTGCGCTCAGTGGTGCTCTGGGGACCGTGTGGGATGCCGGGGGTTGAACCCGGGTCAGCCACACGCTGTGCTGTTGCTGTGGCCATTGCAGAGAAGTCCAGAGGAGAAGCAGGGAGGGGGAGCGTGTCTGCCTGGCTTCCTCATGCTTTGCCCTGACCGTTACAGTCCCCTGACGCTTCCTCTGTTCCTTTGCCTCTCAAAGCGCCGTCAGGGCTGGTGACCAGGAGATTCCCAGGGTTCCCCCGGGGAGTGCTGGGCAGTGGGGCTGGTCACTGGAGATATGGAGAAGGAGGCCCTGAAGCGAGAGGTCTGGCGAGACCGAGAAGCGAGGGGCGGGACAGTCACTGGACAGGCCACAGGGACCCAGGCTGACTCTGGTCGCTTCCCTGCAGCCCTGAGCTCAGCCCCCAGAACTGGCTGCTTCCTCGGTGCTGAGGGTCCCGACTGGTGCCGGGGACCCCTGGGGGGACTAAGCCATGATTAGCAGCAGCCGAGCAGGAAGGGGGTCCAAAGGGTGGGCCCGCCACTCGTGGGCAGCGAGCCAGGCATGACGTTAGGGCATCCAGGGAACCAAAGGACAGTGAAGGCAATGATTTGGGGGAGGATGTCGTGAACTTTGGCTGTCCCCATGCGTGCTGCTCTGAGTGTCCCGGGATCAAGTGACTGTGGCTGTCGCCAGCAGGCATTAGCAATCCCTGTGCCACTTGCAGATTCCCAGGCCCACAGGAGGGTCCCGGGACCCTTGCAGAGCCAGTTGGCCGGGGCAGAGGTGAGGTGGGGCTGATGGCTGGCACCACAGTCTGAGGGGGGTCTGGGCGGTGAGCAGCGGGTCTGAGGTCCCTGGAGGCAGCCCGCCTGGGGGGTCTGGCCGAGGGGCTGAGGTGGCATCTGGGCTGCAGGGGGCCGCAGACTGTCTCAGAGGGGATGGGCCTTGGCAACAGCTCAAAGGGCCCGAGTGTGGCCGCAGCACCAGCCTGAGCAGTGCCTGGGGTGGACCTCACCTTCCACACCCTGTGCATGGCTGAGTGGGCAGCACCCTCAGGACTTTGGGGCCCCCACTGGGGCTCAGAAATGCGAGTCTTAAAGGACGTTCTGCAAACTGGCTCGTGGCTGAAAGCTCTGCGCGCTGGGATCACCCTGAGAAAGAAGCTCACAGCTGCGGGGAGGGTCGAGGGGATGGTATGGGGGCGGGAATGGGGGCGGCTTCGGGGAGGGTGGCCCCTGCTCGGCCAGGGCGGTGAGGCTCCCTGCTGGCATCGGTGTCACCGGGCAGTGAGGGCTGCCCAGCACGTGGGCCCTGAGGTCAGACTGGGGGTCCAGCAGGGCGGAAACGGTTTGGGGGAATCCTCATAGCACCTCCCGGCCCCCTCCCTTGGCCATGGACCCCACCCCGCCCTGCCCAGGAGCTGCACACCCCTGCACGGAGCTTTCTGCAGTCACCAGAGTCAGCACCCTGGACAGGTACCTGCCCACGGAGTGACTCTGAACATCCCTGCCAGGGTTCGTGTGTTGTGTGGTGGTGGGAGTGTGTCTGTGTGGGTGTGGCCCTTTGTGTGTGTCTCTGTGTGAGTGTGGTTGTGTGTGTCTGGACATCTGTGTACAAGCAGATGGTTACATGTGTGTCTGAGTGTGTGAGTGGTCAATGTGTGAGTATGTGTGTGGGTGTGTGAGTGTCTGAGTATGTGAATCTGTGTGTGTGTCTGTGAGCATGTGGGTGTGTGAGTGGTCGATTTAGTGTCTGTGCAAGTGGGTGCCTATGTGAATGTGTGAATATGTGTGTTTGTGTGAGTGTGTGTCTGTGTAAGCATGTGGGTTTGTGTGTGTCTGTGTGTCTATGAGTGTGTGTGAGAGTAAGTGTATCTGTGTGAATGTGTGTGAGTGTATGTCTGTGTATGTGATTGTGTCTCTGTGTGTGTGTGTGTGTGGGTCTGAGTGTGTGTCTGTATGAGTATGTGTGTCTGTGAGTGTTATCTGTGTGTCTGTGTGTGTGGGAGTGTATGTCTGTGTATGTGAGTGTGGGTCTGTGTGTGTGTCTGTGTGTCTGTGTGTGTGGGAGTGTATGTCTGTGTGAGTGTAGGTTTGTGTGTGTGAGTGTGTGTTTGTATGAGTGTGTGTCTGTGAGTGTGTGTGAGTGTATGTGTGCAAGTGTGTGTCTGTGTTTCTGTGTGTATAGGTCTGTGTGAGTGTGTGTCTGTGAGTGTGTGGGTTTGTGTGTGTCTGAATGTGTGGGTCTGTGTGAGTGTGTGTGGCATGTGTGTGTGGGTCTGTGGAGTGTATCTGTGTGTCTGTGCGAGTGTGTGGGTCTGTGTGAGTGTGTATGAGAGTGTGTGTGTCTGTGTGAGTACATGTCTGTGTAAATGCCTGTGAGTGTGGGTCTGTGTGTCTGTGTGTGAGTGTGTGTGTGTCTGCGTGTGTCTGCGTGTGTGAGTGTCTGAGCGCACTGGAGAGTGAGTCACGCAAGAGCTCTGCATTACACTCATTGGTTGAGTCCAAGGGTTTGTTGACCTGAGGGGCTGCCCGGCAGGAGCAAGGGTTGCAGTCGGCTGCAGGGCCCGGAAGCTGGGCCCGGCCGACTCATCTGCTTCCCTCACAGCCTGTCTGGCACACCCAGTCGACTGCTCCAGCACAGGACGGGTGGGGGGGGGAGGCTCACGCGTGCGTCTGGCCGTGTGTCCCATTCCATTTCTCTATCTCCCTGTGTCACCTCATCCCTGGGCCATCCTATCACTAATGTGTGTCTGCGTGAGTGTGTGTGTTTGTGTATCTGTGTGAGTGGGTGATTGTGTGTCCGCATGTGTATCTGAGTGTCCATATGAGTGTGTCTGTGTGGGTATGGGTGGGTGAGAGTATGTGCCTGTGAGAGTGGGTGATAGTGTGTCTGTGTGAGCAGGTCTGTCTGTGTGATAGTGTGTCTGTGTGAGCATCTGTGTGATTGTGTGTGTGTGTGTGTGAGTGGGTCATAGTGTGTCTCTGAGTCTGTGTGATAGTGTGCTGTGTGAGTGGGTGATAGCGTGTGTGTGTGTGAAGGTGTGTGCATACACATGCAGGAATGTCATCTGACCCACATGCCCAGTAGGATCTGTTCTTCAGGGCTGCTCTGAGGGAACTCAGGGCCCTGCCCTCAGAAGGCCCCAGGGTTGGTGAGGGGGGGCATGTCCTCCACACTCACCTTTTCAGCGACAGTCGTGCGGTCCCAGCTGCCTCCACTTCCCTAGCTCCTTGTCACTCACTGCAGCCGTGTGACAAAGATCTGGGTCAGGAGACTTAAGTGGAAGTCCTCTGCGGGGACTTGTAAGCAGCCTCCTCTGGGATGTCCTTTGTGCTCTGCTAGGAGCCCCAGCAGCCGTTCTGGCACCATGAGGATGCCATTCCTCTCGGACTGGGACAGAACTGGAGGCAGCTGCCACAGTCTCTGGACAACCAGCCCTGGAAGCCAGGAGAAGGGCGCCTGGGCCCCTTAACCCATGTCAGGCCTCCCTCGAAATCCAGGCCGGAGTGGCAGGGAGACATTTCCTGGCTGGTCCATCAGCCCAGATGCTTGTGAGGGGCGGCGGAAGAGGAAGTGGCAGAAGGGGAAGCGGCGTGGTCCGGGCTGGGGCAGACCAGACGCCCTGGGAGAGCCAGGGGCCTGCATGGTGAGCAGGATGGGCGCCGAGACGGGCCCCCCAGAGGTGAGTGCCAGGGGCCGGGGCGGTCCAGGCTGGAGGGCATGAGTGTGGGCGGCCGGTGCCATGGGACCTCCCCTGCCCTGAGGTGCCAGCACCGGGGGCATCTTGCCTGTGGCCTCCCACGGGGTTGCAGCGAGTCACAGTGCACGCCTGCGTCCAGGGCCGGGGCAGGGGCCAGGAGGCAGGGCTGCATGTGGAGGTCCCTGCCCCACGCCTTCCTGTCATGCCCCTCCCCACCGCGCCCATCCCTTGCTGCCCCTCTCTGCCCCACTCCCCTCCCCACTCCCGGCCCCTGCTCCCCCTGCCTGGCTGGCGCTGGGGGGGGGGGGGTGCTGTTGCGCCTGGTGGCTCCTGTGGACACAGGAAGGCGGAGCACCCTGGAGGTCAAGGCTGCCAGGTCGGGAGCACCCTGGAGCCTGCTCCACCCGGGGTGCCTGCACCAAGGCTGCGGACTGGGGGGCTCTTGCCTCGCACCAAGGTGGGCCGAAGCACAGAGCCAGGCAGGGTCCACACACACACACACACACACACACACACACACACACACAAGCAGAGGCCGAGGCTGTGCTGAGGGGTGTGTGGAGAGGTGTGCTGCCTGAGGAGTCTCATGTTGACGGCCTCTGGCGCTGGCCTCCTGCCCGCCTCCAGCCCCACATGCCTCAAGGCGGCCCGGCCTCCTGCTGGGGGCCGCACCTGGTCCATCCATTGGGGCAGGGCCCCCGAGCCCCAGCAACTATTTATAGGCAGCAGAGCTGTGCCGAAACTGAGGACTGAGGAACTGAGACTCAGACACTGGGCTGACAGGAAAGTGGGTGGGAGAGCCGGTCCCAGGGAGAGTGAGCGGGAGCGGAAGTGCCTGGATGTGCCCTGTGCGAGCCCGCTCGCTCACACTCTCACACTCCACACACACACACACACACACACACACACACACACCTGCCCTCCTGTCAGCACGTGACACACACAGTCATATGCACAGACAGAAACATAACGACATATATGCATCGACTCACATGCAGGCGCTCCTGCCCGCACACACACATGCACACACATGCACGCACTCACAGATGCAGATACATGAACACACATGGGCACACAGCCACGGATGCACATGGTACAAAGTCACATGATTCACCATCATACACGCACACCTGGGCACACATATACACACGCATGGTTGCATCTGTTCATGCATGCCCACATACAGGCACACTCACACATGGCCCTATACATACACCATGCATGCCGACATTCAGTTACACACACCCACACATGACCCCACATACTCATGCAAACGCACATATCTGCACACACACTTATGCATGCACACATTAAGTCATGCACACTCACATATATCCACACACGCATGCGCACACATACCCAACACACACCTACACACTCATATACACATACATATTCACACACTCGCACATACCTCCCCACTCATGTACACACTCACACATACCCACTCGGGTATGCCACTCGCACATAACCCCACTCATGGCCACACACTCATGCACACACACACAGTCACATACTCACGCACACAATACTCACACACATTCACACATGCCCACCACACTCATGCACACACTCACACATACCCACACTCTTTCACGTGCATACTAATGTGTTCCCATGTACATTCATGTGCAGACTCCTGCATACTCATGTACACACACTCGGCTGTGCAGTGTACACAGGGCCTCACAGTAAGGGAGTTTAGCCGCAGACCTGTCCGTGGGAGCAGGGTGAGCGCAGGCCTGAGGCGTCTGGGGTCCGAGCAGGGCCCTGTGGGGTTGTTGACGGGGCTGGGCTGCCGTGACTCCGAGTCACCTCTGCAGGTGCCGAGGTCTCCGCAGAGAACATCAGGGACCCCCGTGTGGCCCTGCTCCAACCCACCCCACAGCCCCAGGGCCAGAGTGGCAGAGCTCTTCGGCCTGAGGGAGGGGCTCAGTAGCCCCGCCGGCACCTGGGTCCGAGTGGTAAGAATGAAAGAAGCCTGGGGGATCTCAGGCTCACCCACTAGTGGGCTGTGTGGCACGGGGGTCAGGGGTAAGAGGCCAGCGGGTCAGGGTGTCGGGGGGCAAAGGGGCCGGGGGCTTGGGGACCCAGGAGCTGGGCGGGCAGGTGTTGGGGCAGTGGGGGTCTGGGGGGGGAGGAGCACTGCTGTGCCACCCCTGAGCCCTGCCCCCCTGCTCAGCACCCTGGACCCCTCTTCTTTCCCCTCCCTGTGAAAGCCTGGCCACCCATCAGACCTCACGACTCCCTCTAGCTGCAGGTGCTGGGGGTCTCGGCTGCACTGCTTCTGGGCTGCCTGAGCCTCACTCACTTGCTGGGCCCCGCGCAGCCTGTGGAAGGGCCCACCGGGCCGCGGTTTCCCCCGAGCTGGGCCGTGTGGCCACTGCAGGACTCCTGCAGGTGAGTGGCCTGAGAGGCCGCTGTGGGGTCTTGCCGGCTCTGCCCAGAGAACACAGACTCCTGCAGGGCCTGGGGCAGGGGCAGGGGCGGGTAACGGGCAGTTCGAGGGGGTTCCCCCCGCGGGGGTGGGGGACAGACAGAGCTGTAAGGGACTGCCGGCTCCCTGCAGCCTCGCCCTCGTGGAGAGCATCCCCCAGGACCTGCCGGCGACTGCCAACTCATCTGCCCGGCCGCTGGCCCAGGCTTGGATGCAGCTGTTGGACATGGCCCAGGAGAGTGTCCACGTGGCCTCGTTCTATTGGTCACTCACGGGGCGCGACATTGGAGTTAATGACTCGTCTTCCCAGCCGGTGCGCCCCCCCCTTCCCTGGGGAGGGGGACAAGGTCGGGGGGGGGCTGGGAGGGGCTGGGCCTGTCCATGTCCTGTGGGAGACGCAGTAGTTCGTGGATGATCCGCAGGGGGAGACCCTCTTACAGAAGCTGCAGCAGCTGCTGGGCAGAAACGTCTCCCTGGCCGTGGCCACCAGCACCCCCTCACTGGCCCCCAACTCCAGTGACCTGCAGAGCCTGGTTGCCCAAGGTGGGTCCAGAACGCTGGGACCACACGAAAGCAGCAGAGCCACCTATGGGAGGTGGGCAGGGCCCAGACAGGGGCGGGGGGCTGGCTGGGAGCACAGTATCATCGGGGTGAGGGTGGAGGCGGCCCAGGGGTGTGTCTAGCTGCAGCGGGCAGAGCTGCACACCGGCAGCCCATCTCCGCCTGTAGGCCTGGGAGGAAGCTCAGAGGGCCGAGAACCAAGCGGGAGAGCAGGGCCAGTGTCCTCCCCGCCCAGTGACCGTCTCTGCAGGTGCCCAGGTGCGGCATGTGCCCATGAAAAACCTCACTGGGGGAGTTCTGCACTCCAAGTTCTGGGTCGTGGATGGGCAGCACATCTACATGGGCAGCGCCAACATGGACTGGCGGTCCCTGACCCAGGTGGGCTGCCCCGTCCCCTCTCCCTGCTGGGTTTCCACGGGGTTGGGGGAACTTCAGAATTACAATGTCTGGGGAAAGCAGGGCCCCCCAGGGCCCCATTCGCGGTGATGGGTCTTTGAGAGGGGTGTGGTCGGTAGCGAGGCACTGACCCCGCCCCAGGGGCCCTGCTGCCCCACCCCTGCAGGTGAAGGAGCTGGGAGTCATCATCTACAACTGCAGCCGCCTGGCCCAGGACCTGGAGAAAACCTTCCAGACCTACTGGGCGCTGGGGGTGCCCCGGCCCGTGCTCCCTAGCCGTTGGCCTAGGAACTTCTCCTCACACATTAACCGCTTCCAGCCCCTGCGGGAGCACTTCAGCGGGCTCCCCACCACGGCCTACTTCTCGGTGAGGTGCCGGGGCCCCCACAACCCTGGCCACCTGCTGGGCAGGCCCCACATAGGGACCTTCTAGTACAGCAGGCCCGGGTGTGGGGCAGGTCGGGTGTGGGGCAGGTGGGGGCCAGGGCAGAGGCGCCCAGTGCATGAGGCGCCTTCAGCTATGATGCTGGACGCTCTCCGGGGAAGGCAGGCCCAGTGGGGCGGTCGTACCTGGCAGGGTACCCCTCCATCGGGTGCCCAGGAGTGGACAGCTCTTCACCAACCCCCGTCACTGGTCTGCTGGAGAGGCCTGATAGGGCCCAGGACCGGGGTCCTGCCTGGGGAGGGAAAGGGGTCAGGCCAGCCCACCCACGATGTGGCGGGTGGAGCACCAGGCTGTCCAGAGGTCTCTGGGCAGCACTCCTAAGGGCTCTCATGGCACAGGCATCGCCGCCCGCACTCTGCCCCAGTGGCCGCACCCGGGACCTGGATGCGCTGCTCACGGAGATTGGGCGCGCCCGGGAATTCGTCTATGTATCGGTGATGGAGTACTTCCCCACCACGCGCTTCCAACACCCTGTCAGGTGAGCCAGGAGGAGCCCACTAAGACTGGGGTGCCCGGCAGGGCGTGTGTGGGCCTGTAGAGGGAGGAGGCGGGAGGGCAGGGGGCGGGGCCTGGAGGATGGGGGCGGGACTTGGGCGGGGCCGGGAGAGGGAGAGGGCAGGGTGGGGCGGGGACTGGGCGGGGCCTGAGGGTGGGGGCAGGACTTGGGCGGGGCCTGTAGAGAGGGCAGGAGGGCGGGGCCGGGTCCTGGGCGGGGCCTGGAGGGTGGAGGCGGGACTTGGGCGGGGCCTGTAGAGAAAGGGCTGAAGGACAGGGGGCGGGGCCTGGACAGGACCTGTAGAGTGAGAGAACGGAAGGACAGGGGCAGGGCCGGGAGGGGGCTGATGGTAGGGGGCGGGAACTGGGAGGGACCTCAAGGGGCTGAAGGACAGGGGCCGGGGGCATGGGCGGGGCCTGTAGAGGGAGAGGGCTGAAGGACAGGGGGTGGGGCCTGGGCGGGGCTATAGGTGGCTGAAGGACAGGGAGCATGGCCTGTAGAGGGAGGGGGCTGACGGATAGGGGGCGGGGCCTGGGCAGGGCCTGAGAGGAAGAAGGACAGAAGGTGGGGCCTATAGAGGGAGAAGGTTGGAGGGCCGGGGCGGGAACTGGGCAGGGCCCAGTAGGAGAGGTCAGGAGGACAGAGGGGATCGAGTCTGGACGGAGCCTGTAGAGGGAGAGGTCTGGAGGACAGAGGGGGCGGGGCCTGGAAGGGCCTGGGACCCTGGTGCTTAGAAGGAGGAACCTGTTGGTCCAAGGGAGGCCTGGAGGGCAGATCCACTGGCCTTGGAGAGGCCACCAGGCTGATGGAAACTGTCCCTCTCCTACCAGGACCCTCCCCATCCCAGGGCTGCCGGGGAAGCCCTGCTGATGTCTCTCCCCGGCCCTCCCTTCCCAGATACTGGCCTGTGCTGGACACGGCACTGCGGACTGCAGCCGTGAGCAGGCGTGTGCATGTACGCCTGCTGGTCAGCTGCTGGCTCAACACAGACCCCCGCATGTTCCCTTTCCTGCGCTCGCTTCAGGCCCTCAGCCACCCGGCAGCTGGCATCTCCCTGGATGTGGTGAGGTCCCCATCCCTGGGCAGGCTGGAGGTCGCCCTGCTCCCCTCATGACACAGTCCTCTCTGTTTCCCGAAGAAAGTCTACATCGTGCCGGTGGGGAATCACTCCAACATCCCGTTCAGCCGGGTGAACCACAGCAAGTTCATGGTCACCGAACAGGTGGCCTACATCGGTGAGTGGCACAGGGCATGGGCATGGGGCACCCCAGAAGCGGCCAGGCATGAGCGACCCATATTCCCCTCCCCCTCCCCCAGGCACCTCCAACTGGTCAGAAGACTACTTTAGCAGCACCTCAGGGGTGGGCCTGGTGCTGAGACAGAGGGCTACGGGCAGCCAGCCGCAGGCACTCACCGTGCAGGAGCAGCTGCGCCGACTGTTCGAGCGGGACTGGAGCTCGCCCTACGCCTTGGGCCTGGACGAACTGGCCCACAGCCAGGACTGTGTTTGGCGCCACTGAGCCTCTGGAAACCTTCAGCTCTTGGTGGAACCCGCTCTCCACCGAGTTTGCTGTCTGTCCCCAGACCTGGGCCTCAGGCAGCTGCTTCTGCCCCAGCCCTTGTCCAGGCCAGGTGCCCAAAGGCCTGGGAATGCCAACTTTGCTTTCCATCTCCTCTCCAAATCCAGCTGTTCCTAAAGCCAGCCTCCTCCAAGAAGGCCTCCAGGAAGCCTCTTGCTGGCTCCCCCAGAGTAATTGCAAACCCTTGGAATGTGCCTGTGCCTTCTGTCTCTGACTCCAGCTTAATGGGGGTACCTCCTGTCCCACCCCAGACTGTAGATTTACTCTCCAAACTTTCCAGGGGGCTCCGTCCAGTCCCCACAGCTGCACGTCTGCAGAGCCCGGACTCAGCCAGTGTCCAGTCTGTAGGGACAGGAAGGCTGCGCTCTGGCAGGCCCTGGATCTCACATAGCTGGGCCCCACTCACAAATGAAAGAAGGGAGCCAGAGAAGGCAGTGAACCCCCTGGCAGAGAACCACCACCAGTGCAATTCTGGAGGTCCCGGGGACCAGGGATGTGAGGAAAGTTTACTCGGAAAATCCATGACTTGGGCATGTTCCTGGAGCCACAGAGGATTGTGGGGGTCCCGGGGCGGGGGTTGTCCCTGGCAGAAACCCAGGACCACGAGGCACTTACCAGGACTCTGGACAGGCGGGAAGCAAGCCCTGTGGCAGTGGGTTCAGGGTGTGGGAAACCCAGGACTTTGGAAAGGGTTCCTGGGGTGGCTGGGGGATGCAACCCTGGGCTGTGGGTGCTGTGGCGCCTCCAAGTCACAGCATGCCAACCCAGGTGCACGGGTCCATCTTTGGGCGCAGACTTTTTAAAAAAATTTAATTAATTTATTTTTGCCTTTTGGGTCACACCCGTCATGCACAGGGGTTACTCCTGGCTCTGTACTCAGGAATCACTCCTGGCGGTGCTCAGGGGACCATATGGGATGCTGGGAATCGAACCCGGTCGGCCTCGTGCAAGGCAAACGCTATCCCTCCAGCCCTGCGCGCAGGCTTTCAAGGACCACAATGACCCAATTTAACTGTATTGCTAGAGCTCGCCCCGTAGTTGGCTGTGCTGATTGGTTATGAGGTACTGGGACTGGCCAATCAGGTCACGCATGCAAATGCTGGGCCAGGTGGTCTGGAAGACCCGGCCCCGCCCCCTCACTTCCTGTCTCTCTCTGGAAGGCTGTCGGAGCGCTGTTGCCGGTCCTGAGGGGAATCCAGAACTCTGTGGTGGGTTGCCAGGGGGACACGGGAGGGTGGGCGTGAGTTCCTGAGGGCAGCATTGGAGCGTGGGGGGACCTGCCCTGGGAGGGCGGATTTTCGGTGGGGAGGGAACCCAGGACTGTGGGGGGGTGAGGGAGGGGGCGGCCAGCACTGTGAGGTGGATTCCGGGGTGAACCCAGGACTACGGAGATGTATGGGGGGATCAGCCCCATCCCAGAACTTTCGGGGTGGCGGCTTTCGGGGTGAACGGGGCATGTGGGGTCGGGCTCTGGAGTGAAGGGGGGCCACGGGGGCGGGTTCCAGTGTTAACCCGGGGCCATGGGGGTGGGCTTCTGGGTAAACCCGGGCCTGTAAGGGCAGGTTCAGGGGTGAACTGGGGGGTCTGTGTAGGCAGGTTTCAGGGTGAACTGGGGTGTGCGGGGGAGTTCCGGGGTGAACCTTGGCCTGAGGGGGTGGATTTCAGGGTGAACCGGGGCTTGTGAAGGTGCACCCAGGAGACAGGACTGTGGGTCCACCCGCCAGTTCCAGCCCCACATCCGTGTTCTGACATGATGAGGCGGGTTATAAGTGCTGTAGTCTGCAGCTGGGGAGTTCCCAGTGGAGACCATTCATGCACAGGAGTTGGACTGCACAGGGCTCCACACCCCCCTCCTCTCCCATCGCCTGCAGCAAGACCACCATGACACACAAGACCCTGGGTTTGCAGGTGTGACTGCAGTGTCCCCCACAGGACAGTGTGGCAGGCCCCCTGCAGACAGGAACCTTGACCCCAAGACCCCCGACTTTCCCCTTTTCTCCACCAGAAGCCATTTTTTGTTTGTTTGTTTGTTTTTGGCTGGCTCTGCACTCAGGAATTACCCATGAAAGTGTTCAGGGGGCCCTCTGGGGTACAGGGGATGGAACCAGCAAGGCCATATGCAAGGCAAACACCCTACCAGATGTACTGTTACTCTGGGCCCAGAAGCCAGTTTCTTTCAGAGCGTTACACACAGAACTGGGGGGTGGGTGGGGGATGGAGGGGGGGTGGGGCTTCCCTGCCAGCCACAGCCGATGCCCCTAGGATCACCTGAGAGATCCCAGCCCTGTTGCCTGGCCACCACTCCTGTGAGCGGGGCACTGCAGCTACAAGCCCTAAGGGACTCATGGCTCTGCCTCTCTCCAGGAATTCCTGGGTCCAGCTGGAAACTGCTGGTCTCCCCATGGCCTCTCCAGCTGCTGGCTGCGAATATCTGGGCCCCAACATTCTTCAGAACTGTTTTTCTGGCACTTCCTGGCGTGGCCCTCAGGCCGGAGCATGTGTGGGAGATTGGGGAACCGCCTTTCTACGTAGCAACACAAGACAAGCAGTCTTGCAGTGCGGGGATCACATGCTTTATTGCCCATTTGGAGGAAAAATGCTCAGGTTCTCTGTAACCTGGCTGCACCCTGGGGCTACATGGGGTGTGTGCCTCCGGAGGCACTGAGACCCTGGAAGCATGTGGCAGATCTCCGACATCCCTCTGCTGGTTCACCTGCCAAGACCACCTTCCACGTGGCACCAGGGTGCCACTCAACAAGCATCCAGAACTTGCTCTGGTCAGATGAGGGAGGAGTAGGTTAGCTAGAAGTGAGAGGCAGTTTCTGGAACGTGCTAGTCAATGATTGTCAGGACGCAGCAACAGAAATGACCCCAGAAGTACTCCATTCACCAGAGCCCTCTTCACGAAGCAACAATTATGTTCTGGTGGGTTCTGGAGCAGGTCCCTAGAAACGTCTTCACTAGAGACCAATCTCCAGCACCCCTCTGCCATGGGCCAAGTCATGCATCTCAGTGAGTCAGGATGTCTTTTGCTTGCCGAGCTTCGGGGTGTACTGTGGTTGAGCACCTGTGGCCTCAGGTCAGAGTCCATGGGCACAGAGGTGGGAGCACTCAGGATGGGGTGAGCTCAGGCTTACTCTGTAACCCCATTTCTGTGGTGTCAGAGCCTGCGGGCCCCACTACTCTTGTGCTCCAGCAGGATCACTTGGTCCTCGCTGAGGATGCAGCTGTGTGTGCATCATGGGTCAGCTCCTCCTCTTCCTCTTCTCCCGGAGAGAACGTTTCTCGGGCATCAAAAAAGGTGGCTGCTTCATCTTGGAGGTTGTGCTCTGCTAGACTTGCCTCATCCTCAGTGGCTTGGCATTTCTCAGCGGGAGGGGAGGAGAACCCCAGTTTGGGAAACCGGAACCAGCCTGCCTTCTCCTGCTTGCCAGGCAGTCTTGATTCAGGCCGGGCCTCGGGCTGCTTCTGAACTGGGCCCGTTTGCTGTATTTGGGCTCCAGAGGCAGCAACTGGCTCCTCAGGGGCCGATGGAGAAAACCCGATGTTTGGGAACCAAAACCTGAAGAGCCCAGAAGACCTTTTACTTTCTGGTTTCTCTTTTGGGGGAATGTGTTCTGCCAGGGTTGCCCCCGGGCTGTCTTCAGGGGGAAATTCAAGAATTTCTGCAGGCTCCTCATCAGAACAGCTCTCGGCACATTGGGCACCAGAGCCAACTTCAAAGCCAGCTGTTGCCTCCCTGTCGCTGGACACCACTTCAAATGGTTCTTGAGAGTCAGCACTCAGGACTACCTCTCTGGGAGTTTCGTGAGCCCCAAGGCTCACACCTGTCTGGAGAGTGGGCTCTGGGTTTCTCCCCTTCAGCGGGGAAAATCCATAGGAGGCCTTCTGTGAGGCTGGGGTCTCCAACTCGCATACAGTCTCCGTAGTAAAGGTCTTGGGTCCCCAGGGATCAGCCGAGCCTGCCAGGGCTCTGCTGTGGATGGTGACTGCATGGCTCTCGGCCTGAGCACCTTGAATGCGCACTCTCACCTTAGAAATGGGGGGCACTTCTGAGGGGAGGTGGCAGTCCTTTAGTTGCTCCCTGCAGTGCCCTGCACTCTCCTTCAGGATGGTTGCACCCCAGATTTCAGGGTTCTCTGTCTGCAGGGTGAGGTGGAGATGGTTCTCAGGGTGCCACACTTCTCGAACCATTGGAATGAAAATGTCAGTGTCCAAGCTGGGGTCAGGGAAGGTGAACCTCGGCACCTTCAGTTTGGGAAACCTTACTTTAAGCACAGAATCTTCCCAGACTATGCCCATGCCACCGAGAGAAGTGGGGGCTGGGCCATGGGGGCTAGGTGCCATCACTGTGGAAGGTCTCCTCACTGCCTCTGCTTCAGGGCCCGGGATTTCAGAAAAGCTGGCATGGGTCAGCAGGAGGGGGCCTTCTGCTGGACAGGTCCCAACAGGGGAAGATGACCCAGCTGGAAGAGGCTGCTTCCCAGAGCCTGGGCCAGTACTGTGCAAATTGCGCCGAAGCACATCGGCATAGGAGGCGCTGTCGGGAAACGCCTTGTCCTCATTGCTCTTGGGGGAGTGCAGGGGCACAGCCACTTCCCCAAGGAGCTCCTGAGTCATAGCTCTACCAGGAGCTTCTTCTTGGGGGCTGCAGGTATCAAGTAGGAGTCTGGGAACCTTTTCCAGCCCTGCAGCCTCCCCTTTCTCCTTGGATGAAGCACGCCGCATGCCAGGCAGGTGGAATGTAGGCATCCTAAACCAACTATCTCGAGAGGCTGCCCCCTCGGTGCTTGACACATCAGCATCCTTGGGTCTACATGATGGCAGGAGTGGGTTTTCTGTGGTGGGGATCACTGGCTTCCCAATAGGCTGCCTCTTGGAGACTTCCGCACAGGCACTATCTCCTAAAGAGAGGCTGTGTTGCTCTGTGGTGTCAGGGTCCTTGATGCCACTCTGGACCACCAGGGTCCTAGAAAAGGTAGGGTGTGGCTCTCCTGGCGACAGAACAGCCCTGGCCTGGGAGAGCTCAGTCGTAGGAAGAGGAAGCTCTGGCAGCACTGGGCCAGTCTGCCCTAGTTTGATCCCCTCTCCATCCTCCTCTGGCGGGACATCCTTTGGGTGAATATAAACTTGGGGCATCCCTTGCAGCCTGTCCGTTTCTGTGGACGCACTAAGCTTTACGTCCTCCACGTGGTGTTTAGGGACCCCTTTCTTGGGGGACCACCGAAAAGATGGGAGCTTGAGCTTGGGCATTTTTAATGGACTGCCCTTACCTGCCCGGGCAGCACCCTCAGTGGGAACTTCACATGCCACTGCTGATGAAGTCCCCTCAGTTTGGGAAGGGACCTCGGGGGACATACACACAGAATCTGTGCCTGAATGCAACAGTTGTGGATCAGTCACAGGGCTTTTCGAGGAGTCAAGCCTCTGTGTAGAGCAAGGGCCAGACACAGTAGGGACAACCTGAGCATGAGGGGCCCCCACCTCACCCATAGCTGTGGGATCCGAATACTGAAACTTCGGTCCATGAAATTTAGGAAAAGTCACAGGTCCATATGATGTGGGAAAGAGAGAAACGATAGATTCAGTGTGACAAGCAACTGGGGATGGCAGTGGTCCCTCGAGGATAGCTTTGGAAACACCATCCATGACCCCTTCAGAGGTGTCCACAAGCAATACATGCGACTCAGCAACCTGAGGAATATCCTCCTGAAACTTAATGAGGGTTCCAGGACCAGAGGAAACGGAGAAGGAAGGATCAGACTGGAGCTGAAGACTGACTGCACTGGAAGGGATAGACACACCACCAAGAGCTAAACCCTGAGGTGAAGGGCCCACTGCAACATCCAGGTCACCGCACACAGAATCATTGACAGACTTGCTGGGAGAAGAGCCCCTAAAGGAAGGCATCTTGAACTTCGGCATTTTAAACTTCCTATCCTTGGACCCCACGGCCTTGACTCCCAGGGCTATGTCTGCCTCCAGCGTGGCCTCAGGCGTCCGAATGTCAACCTCAACTGTGGGCAGCTTCACTTCCGCGCTGGGGGTGCTGACGTCGGCCTTGGCGCCTTTCACATCCAGTTTTGGGGCCGTGATGTCCACCTGGGGGCCCTTGAAGTCGACTTTGGGCACCTTGAAGCTGGGTGTCTTCACCTTGGGCAGGTGGCCCTTGAGGCCGCCTCTGACGTCCACGTCGGGGAGTGTGGTTTCGGGCATCTCGACGTCGGGGGGCTGCATGGCCTTGACGCCGGACACCACGTCCACGTCCACGGACGGGAGCTGGACGCTGAGGTCCCCGGTCTTGAGTTCTCCCTTGGCAGAGGACAGGGAGACATCGGCCTGCATCTCTGGCAAGGTGACGTCCACGTCGCTGTGCATGGAGGCCTCGATGGATTTGCCTGCTGCGGAGCCCCCGAAGGAGGGCATCTTGAACTTGGGCATCTTGAACTTGCTGTCCCTGGCCCCCACGTCCTTGCCTCCCAGGGCGATGTCCGCCTCCAGCGTGGCCTCAGGGGTCCGAATGTCAACGTCAACTGTGGGCAGCTTCACCTCCACGCTGGGGGTGCTGACGTCGGCCTTGGCGCCCTTCACATCCAGTTTTGGGGCCGTGATGTCCACCTGGGGGCCCTTGAAGTCGACTTTAGGCACCTTGAAGCTGGGTGTCTTAACCTTGGGCAAGTGGCCCTTGAGGCCGCCTCTGACGTCCACGTCGGGGAGTGTGGCTTCGGGCACCTCGACGTCGGGGGGCTGAACGGCCTTGACGCCGGACGCGACGTCCACGTCCAGGGACGGGAGCTGGACGCTGAGGTCCCCGGTCTTGAGTTCTCCCTGGGCAGAGGGCAGGGAGACATCGGCCTGCATCTCTGGCAAGGTGACGTCCACGTCGCTGTGCACGGAGGCCTTGCCTGCTGCGGAGCCCCCAAAGGACGGCATCTTGAACTTGGGCATCTTGAACTTGCTGTCCCTGGCCCCCACGTCCTTGCCTCCCAGGGCGATGTCCGCCTCCAGCGTGGCCTCAGGGGTCCGAATGTCAACGTCAACTGTGGGCAGCTTCACCTCCACGCTGGGGGTGCTGACGTCGGCCTTGGCGCCTTTCACATCCAGTTTGGGGGCCGTGATGTCCACCTGGGGGCCCTTGAAGTCGACTTTGGGCACCTTGAAGCTGGGTGTCTTCATCTTAGGGAGGTGGCTCTTGAGGCCGCCTCTGACGTCCACGTCGGGGAGTGTGGCTTCAGGCACCTCGACGTCTGGGAGCTGCACGGCCTTGACGCCGGACGGGACGTCCACGTCCACGGATGGGAGCTGGACGCTGAGTTCCCCGGTCTTGAGTTCTAACTGGGCAGAGGGCAGGGAGACATCGGCCTGCATCTCTGGCGAGGTGACGTCCACATCGCTGTGCACGGAGGCCTTGCCTGCTGCGGAGCCCACGAAAGAGGTCATCTTGAACTTGGGCATCTGGAACTTGCTGTCCCTGGCCCCCACGTCCTTGCCTCCCAGGGCGATGTCCGCCTCCAGCGTGGCCTCAGGGGTCCGAATGTCAACGTCAACTGTGGGCAACTTCACCTCCACGCTGGGGGTGCTGACGTCGGCCTTGGCGCCTTTCACATCCAGTTTGGGGGCCGTGATGTCCACCTGGGGGCCCTTGAAGTCGACTTTGGGCACCTTGAAGCTGGGTGTCTTCATCTTAGGGAGGTGGCTCTTGAGGCCGCCTCTGATGTCCACGTCGGGGAGTGTGGCTTCAGGCACCTCGACGTCTGGGAGCTGCACGGCCTTGACGCCGGACGGGACGTCCACGTCCACGGATGGGAGCTGGACGCTGAGTTCCCCGGTCTGGAGTTCTCCCTGGGCAGAGGGCAGGGAGACATCGGCCTGCATCTCTGGCAAGGTGACGTCCACATCGCTGTGCATGGAGGCCTCGATGGATTTGCCTGCTGCGGAGCCCCCGAAGGAGGGCATCTTGAACTTGGGCATCTTGAACTTGCTGTCCCTGGCCCCCACGTCCTTGCCTCCCAGGGCGATGTCCGCCTCCAGAGTGGCCTCAGGGGTCCGAATGTCAACGTCAACTGTGGGCAACTTCACCTCCACGCTGGGGGTGCTGACGTCGGCCTTGGCGCCTTTCACATCCAGTTTGGGGGCCGTGATGTCCACCTGGGGTCCCTTGAAGTCTACTTTGGGCACCTTGAAGCTGGGTGTCTTCATCTTAGGGAGGTGGCTCTTGAGGCCGCCTCTGATGTCCACGTCGGGGAGTGTGGCTTCGGGCACCTCGACGTCGGGGGGCTGAACGGCCTTGACGCCGGACGCGACGTCCACGTGCAGGGACGGGAGCTGGACGCTGAGGTCCCCGGTCTTGAGTTCTCCCTGGGCAGAGGGCAGGGAGACAACGGCCTGCATCTCTGGCAAGGTGACGTCCACGTCGCTGTGCATGGAGGCCTCGATGGATTTGCCTGCTGCGGAGCCCCCGAAGGAGGGCATCTTGAACTTGGGCATCTTGAACTTGCTGTCCCTGGCCCCCACGTCCTTGCCTCCCAGGGCGATGTCCGCCTCCAGCGTGGCCTCAGGGGTCCGAATGTCAACGTCAACTGTGGGCAGCTTCACCTCCACGCTGGGGGTGCTGACGTCGGCCTTGGCGCCTTTCACATCCAGTTTGGGGGCCGTGATGTCCACCTGGGGGCCCTTGAAGTCGACTTTGGGCACCTTGAAGCTGGGTGTCTTCATCTTAGGGAGGTGGCTCTTGAGGCCGCCTCTAACGTCCACGTCGGGGAGTGTGGCTTCAGGCACCTCGACGTCTGGGAGCTGCACGGCCTTGACGCCGGACGGGACGTCCACGTCCACGGACGGGAGCTGGACGCTGAGTTCCCCGGTCTTGAGTTCTCCCTGGGCAGACGGCAGGGAGACATCGGCCTGCATCTCTGGCAAGGTGACGTCCACGTCGCTGTGCACGGAGGCCTTGCCTGCTGCGGTGCCCCCAAAGGACGGCATCTTGAACTTGGGCATCTGGAACTTGCTGTCCCTGGCCCCCACGTCCTTGCCTCCCAGGGCGATGTCCGCCTCCAGCGTAGCCTCAGGGGTCCGAATGTCAACGTCAACTGTGGGCAGCTTCACCTCCACGCTGGGGGTGGTGACGTCGGCCTTGGCGCCCTTCACATCCAGTTTTGGGGCCGTGATGTCCACCTGGGGGCCCTTGAAGTCGACTTTGGGCACCTTGAAGCTGGGTGTCTTCATCTTAGGGAGGTGGCTCTTGAGGCCGCCTCTGACGTCCACGTCGGGGAGTGTGGCTTCAGGCACCTCGACGTCTGGGAGCTGCACGGCCTTGACGCCGGACGCGACGTCCACGTCCACGGACGGGAGCTGGACGCTGAGTTCCCCGGTCTTGAGTTCTCCCTGGGCAGAGGGCAGGGAGACATCGGCCTGCATCTCTGGCAAGGTGACGTCCACGTCGCTGTGCATGGAGGCCTCGATGGATTTGCCTGCTGCGGAGCCCCCGAAGGAGGGCATCTTGAACTTGGGCATCTTGAACTTGCTGTCCTTGGCCCCCACGTCCTTGCCTCCCAGGGCGATGTCCGCCTCCAGCGTGGCCTCAGGGGTCTGAATGTCAACATCAACTGTGGGCAGCTTCACCTCCACGCTGGGGGTGGTGACGTCGGACTTGGCGCCTTTCACATCCAGTTTGGGGGCCGTGATGTCCACCTGGGGGCCCTTGAAGTCGACTTTGGGCACCTTGAAGCTGGGTGTCTTCATCTTAGGGAGGTGGCTCTTGAGGCCGCCTCTGACGTCCACGTCGGGGAGTGTGGCTTCAGGCACCTCGACGTCTGGGAGCTCCACGGCCTTGACGCCGGACGGGACGTCCACATCCACGGACGGGAGCTGGACGCTGAGTTCCCCGGTCTTGAGTTCTCCCTGGGCAGACGGCAGGGAGACATCGGCCTGCATCTCTGGCAAGGTGACGTCCACGTCGCTGTGCACGGAGGCCTTGCCTGCTGCGGAGCCCCCAAAGGACGGCATCTTGAACTTGGGCATCTGGAACTTGCTGTCCCTGGCCCCCACATCCTTGCCTCCCAGGGCGATGTCCGCGTCCAGCGTGGCCTCAGGGGTCTGAATGTCAACATCAACTGTGGGCAGCTTCACCTCCACGCTGGGGGTGGTGACGTCGGCCTTGGCGCCTTTCACATCCAGTTTGGGGGCCGTGATGTCCACCTGGGGGCCCTTGAAGTCGACTTTGGGCACCTTGAAGCTGGGTGTCTTCATCTTAGGGAGGTGGCTCTTGAGGCCGCCTCTGACGTCCACGTCGGGGAGTGTGGCTTCAGGCACCTCGACGTCTGGGAGCTCCACGGCCTTGACGCCGGACGTGACGTCCACATCCACGGACGGGAGCTGGACGCTGAGTTCCCCGGTCATGAGTTCTCCCTGGGCAGACGGCAGGGAGACATCGGCCTGCATCTCTGGCAAGGTGACGTCCACGTCGCTGTGCACGGAGGACTTGCCTGCTGCGGAGCCCCCAAAGGACGGCATCTTGAACTTGGGCATCTGGAACTTGCTGTCCCTGGCCCCCACGTCCTTGCCTCCCAGGGCGATGTCCGCCTCCAGCGGGGCCTCAGGGGTCCGAATGTCAACGTCAACTGTGGGCAGCTTCACCTCCACGCTGGGGGTGGTGACGTCGGCCTTGGCGCCTTTCACATCCAGTTTGGGGGCCGTGATGTCCACCTGGGGGCCCTTGAAGTCGACTTTGGGCACCTTGAAGCTGGGTGTCTTCATCTTAGGGAGGTGGCTCTTGAGGCCGCCTCTGACGTCCACGTCGGGGAGTGTGGCTTCAGGCACCTCGACGTCTGTGAGCTGCACGGCCTTGACGCCGGACGGGACGTCCACATCCACGGACGGGAGCTGGACGCTGAGTTCCCCGGTCCTAAGTTCTCCCTGGGCAGACGGCAGGGAGACATCGGCCTGCATCTCTGGCAAGGTGACGTCCACGTCGCTGTGCACGGAGGCCTTGCCTGCTGCGGAGCCCCCAAAGGACGGCATCTTGAACTTGGGCATCTGGAACTTGCTGTCCCTGGCCCCCACGTCCTTGCCTCCCAGGGCGATGTCCGCCTCCAGCGTGGCCTCAGGGGTCTGAATGTCAACATCAACTGTGGGCAGCTTCACCTCCACGCTGGGGGTGGTGACGTCGGCCTTGGCGCCTTTCACATCCAGTTTGGGGGCCGTGATGTCCACCTGGGGGCCCTTGAAGTCGACTTTGGGCACCTTGAAGCTGGGTGTCTTCATCTTAGGGAGGTGGCTCTTGAGGCCGCCTCTTACGTCCACGTCGGGGAGTGTGGCTTCAGGCACCTCGACGTCTGGGAGCTGCACGGCCTTGACGCCGGACGGGACGTCCACATCCAGTGACGGGAGCTGGACGCTGAGGTCCCCGGTCTTGAGTTCTCCCTTGGCAGAGGACAGGGAGACATCGGCCTGCATCTCTGGCAAGGTGACGTCCACGTCGCTGTGCATGGAGGCCTCGATGGATTTGCCTGCTGCGGAGCCCCCGAAGGAGGGCATCTTGAACTTGGGCATCTTGAACTTGCTGTCCCTGGCCCCCACGTCCTTGCCTCCCAGGGCGATGTCCGCCTCCAGCGTGGCCTCAGGGGTCCGAATGTCAACGTCAACTGTGGGCAGCTTCACCTCCACGCTGGGGGTGCTGACGTCGGCCTTGGCGCCCTTCACATCCAGTTTTGGGGCCGTGATGTCCACCTGGGGGCCCTTGAAGTCGACTTTGGGCACCTTGAAGCTGGGTGTCTTCACCTTGGGCAGGTGGCCCTTGAGGCCGCCTCTGACGTCCACGTCGGGGAGTGTGGCTTCGGGCATCTCGACGTCGGGGGGCTGCATGGCCTTGACGCCGGACACCACGTCCACGTCCACGGACGGGAGCTGGACGCTGAGGTCCCTGGTCTTGAGTTCTCCCTTGGCAGAGGACAGGGAGACATCGGCCTGCATCTCTGGCAAGGTGACGTCCACGTCGCTGTGCATGGAGGCCTCGATGGATTTGCCTGCTGCGGAGCCCCCGAAGGAGGGCATCTTGAACTTGGGCATCTTGAACTTGCTGTCCCTGGCCCCCACGTCCTTGCCTCCCAGGGCGATGTCCGCCTCCAGCGTGGCCTCAGGGGTCCGAATGTCAACGTCAACTGTGGGCAGCTTCACCTCCACGCTGGGGGTGCTGACGTCGGCCTTGGCACCCTTCACATCCAGTTTTGGGGCCGTGATGTCCACCTGGGGGCCCTTGAAGTCGACTTTAGGCACCTTGAAGCTGGGTGTCTTAACCTTGGGCAAGTGGCCCTTGAGGCCGCCTCTGACGTCCACGTCGGGGAGTGTGGCTTCGGGCACCTCGACGTCGGGGGGCTGAACGGCCTTGACGCCGGACGCGACGTCCACGTCCAGGGACGGGAGCTGGACGCTGAGGTCCCCGGTCTTGAGTTCTCCCTGGGCAGAGGGCAGGGAGACATCGGGCTGCATCTCTGGCAAGGTGACGTCCACGTCGCTGTGCACGGAGGCCTTGCCTGCTGCGGAGCCCCCGAAGGAGGGCATCGTGATCTTGGGCATCTTGAACTTGCTGTCCCTGGCCCCCACGTCCTTGCCTCCCAGGGCGATGTCCGCCTCCAGCGTAGCCTCAGGCGTCCGAATGTCAACGTCAACTGTAGGCAGCTTCACCTCCACGCTGGGGGTGCTGACGTCGGCCTTGGCGCCCTTCACATCCAGTTTTGGGGCCGTGATGTCCACCTGGGGGCCCTTGAAGTCGACCTTGGGCACCTTGAAGCTGGGTGTCTTAACCTTGGGCAGGTGGCCCTTGAGGCCGCCTCTGACGTCCACGTCGGGGAGTGTGGCTTCGGGCACCTCGACGTCGGGGGGCTGAACGGCCTTGACGCCGGACGCGACGTCCACGTCCAGGGACGGGAGCTGGATGCTGAGGTCCCCGGTCTTGAGTTCTCCCTTGGCAGAGGGCAGGGAGACATCGGGCTGCATCTCTGGCAAGGTGACGTCCACGTCGCTGTGCATGGAGGCCTCGATGGATTTGCCTGCTGCGGAGCCCCCGAAGGAGGGCATCTTGAACTTGGGCATCTTGAACTTGCTGTCCCTGGCCCCCACGTCCTTGCCTCCCAGGGCGATGTCTGCCTCCAGCGTGGCCTCAGGGGTCCGAATGTCAACGTCAACTGTGGGCAGCTTCACCTCCACGCTGGGGGTGCTGACGTCGGCCTTGGCGCCCTTCACATCCAGTTTTGGGGCCGTGATGTCCACCTGGGGGCCCTTGAAGTCGACTTTGGGCACCTTGAAGCTGGGTGTCTTCACCTTGGGCAGGTGGCCCTTGAGGCCGCCTCTGACGTCCACGTCGGGGAGTGTGGCTTCGGGCACCTCGACGTCGGGGGGCTGAACGGCCTTGACGCCGGACGCGACGTCCACGTCCAGGGACGGGAGCTGGACGCTGAGGTCCCCGGTCTTGAGTTCTCCCTGGGCAGAGGGCAGGGAGACATCGGGCTGCATCTCTGGCAAGGTGACGTCCACGTCGCTGTGCATGGAGGCCTCGATGGATTTGCCTGCTGCGGAGCCCCCGAAGGAGGGCATCTTGAACTTGGGCATCTTGAACTTGCTGTCCCTGGCCCCCACGTCCTTGCCTCCCAGGGCGATGTCTGCCTCCAGCGTGGCCTCAGGGGTCCGAATGTCAACGTCAACTGTGGGCAGCTTCACCTCCACGCTGGGGGTGCTGACGTCGGCCTTGGCGCCCTTCACATCCAGTTTTGGGGCCGTGATGTCCACCTGGGGGCCCTTGAAGTCGACCTTGGGCACCTTGAAGCTGGGTGTCTTCATCTTAGGGAGGTGGCTCTTGAGGCCGCCTCTGACGTCCACGTCGGGGAGTGTGGCTTCAGGCACCTCGACGTCTGGGAGCTGCACGGCCTTGACGCCGGACGCGACGTCCACGTCCATGGACGGGAGCTGGACGCTGAGGTCCCCGGTCTTGAGTTCTCCCTGGGCAGAGGGCAGGGAGACATCGGCCTGCATCTCTGGCAAGGTGACGTCCACGTCGCTGTGCACGGAGGCCTTGCCTGCTGCGGAGCCCCCAAAGGAGGGCATCTTGAACTTGGGCATCTGGAACTTGCTGTCCCTGGCCCCCACGTCCTTGCCTCCCAGGGCGATGTCCGCCTCCAGCGTGGCCTCAGGGGTCCGAATGTCAACGTCAACTGTGGGCAGCTTCACCTCCACGCTGGGGGTGGTGACGTCGGCCTTGGCGCCTTTCACATCCAGTTTGGGGGCCGTGATGTCCACCTGGGGGCCCTTGAAGTCGACTTTGGGCACCTTGAAGCTGGGTGTCTTCATCTTAGGGAGGTGGCTCTTGAGGCCGCCTCTGACGTCCACGTCGGGGAGTGTGGCTTCAGGCACCTCGACGTCTGGGAGCTGCACGGCCTTGACGCCGGACGGGACGTCCACATCCAGGGACGGGAGCTGGACGCTGAGGTCCCCGGTCTTGAGTTCTCCCTTGGCAGAGGACAGGGAGACATCGGCCTGCATCTCTGGCAAGGTGACGTCCACGTCGCTGTGCATGGAGGCCTCGATGGATTTGCCTGCTGCGGAGCCCCCGAAGGAGGGCATCTTGAACTTGGGCATCTTGAACTTGCTGTCCCTGGCCCCCACGTCCTTGCCTCCCAGGGCGATGTCCGCCTCCAGCGTGGCCTCAGGGGTCCGAATGTCAACCTCAACTGTGGGCAGCTTCACTTCCGCGCTGGGGGTGCTGACGTCGGCCTTGGCGCCTTTCACATCCAGTTTGGGGGCCGTGATGTCCACCTGGGGGCCCTTGAAGTCGACTTTGGGCACCTTGAAGCTGGGTGTCTTCACCTTGGGCAGGTGGCCCTTGAGGCTGCCTCTGACGTCCACGTCGGGGAGTGTGGCTTCGGGCATCTCGAAGTCGGGGGGCTGCATGGCCTTGACGCCGGACACCACGTCCACGTCCACGGACGGGAGCTGGACGCTGAGGTCCCTGGTCTTGAGTTCTCCCTTGGCAGAGGACAGGGAGACATCGGCCTGCATCTCTGGCAAGGTGACGTCCACGTCGCTGTGCATGGAGGCCTCGATGGATTTGCCTGCTGCGGAGCCCCCGAAGGAGGGCATCTTGAACTTGGGCATCTTGAACTTGCTGTCCCTGGCCCCCACGTCCTTGCCTCCCAGGGCGATGTCCGCCTCCAGCGTGGCCTCAGGGGTCCGAATGTCAACGTCAACTGTGGGCAGCTTCACCTCCACGCTGGGGGTGCTGACGTCGGCCTTGGCGCCCTTCACATCCAGTTTTGGGGCCGTGATGTCCACCTGGGGGCCCTTGAAGTCGACTTTAGGCACCTTGAAGCTGGGTGTCTTAACCTTGGGCAAGTGGCCCTTGAGGCCGCCTCTGACGTCCACGTCGGGGAGTGTGGCTTCGGGCACCTCGACGTCGGGGGGCTGAACGGCCTTGACGCCGGACGCGACGTCCACGTCCAGGGACGGGAGCTGGACGCTGAGGTCCCCGGTCTTGAGTTCTCCCTGGGCAGAGGGCAGGGAGACATCGGGCTGCATCTCTGGCAAGGTGACGTCCACGTCGCTGTGCACGGAGGCCTTGCCTGCTGCGGAGCCCCCGAAGGAGGGCATCGTGAACTTGGGCATCTTGAACTTGCTGTCCCTGGCCCCCACGTCCTTGCCTCCCAGGGCGATGTCCGCCTCCAGCGTAGCCTCAGGGGTCCGAATGTCAACGTCAACTGTGGGCAGCTTCACCTCCACGCTGGGGGTGCTGACGTCGGCCTTGGCGCCCTTCACATCCAGTTTTGGGGCCGTGATGTCCACCTGGGGGCCCTTGAAGTCGACCTTGGGCACCTTGAAGCTGGGTGTCTTAACCTTGGGCAGGTGGCCCTTGAGGCCGCCTCTGACGTCCACGTCGGGGAGTGTGGCTTCGGGCACCTCGACGTCGGGGGGCTGAACGGCCTTGACGCCGGACGCGACGTCCACGTCCAGGGACGGGAGCTGGACGCTGAGGTCCCCGGTCTTGAGTTCTCCCTTGGCAGAGGGCAGGGAGACATCGGGCTGCATCTCTGGCAAGGTGACGTCCACGTCGCTGTGCATGGAGGCCTCGATGGATTTGCCTGCTGTGGAGCCCCCGAAGGAGGGCATCTTGAACTTGGGCATCTTGAACTTGCTGTCCCTGGCCCCCACGTCCTTGCCTCCCAGGGCGATGTCTGCCTCCAGCGTGGCCTCAGGGGTCCGAATGTCAACGTCAACTGTGGGCAGCTTCACCTCCACGCTGGGGGTGCTGACGTCGGCCTTGGCGCCCTTCACATCCAGTTTTGGGGCCGTGATGTCCACCTGGGGGCCCTTGAAGTCGACTTTAGGCACCTTGAAGCTGGGTGTCTTAACCTTGGGCAAGTGGCCCTTGAGGCCGCCTCTTACGTCCTCGTCGGGGAGTGTGGCTTCGGGCACCTCGACGTCGGGGGGCTGAACGGCCTTGACGCCGGACGCGACGTCCACGTCCAGGGACGGGAGCTGGACGCTGAGGTCCCCGGTCTTGAGTTCTCCCTGGGCAGAGGGCAGGGAGACATCGGGCTGCATCTCTGGCAAGGTGACGTCCACGTCGCTGTGCACGGAGGCCTTGCCTGCTGCGGAGCCCCCGAAGGAGGGCATCTTGAACTTGGGCATCTTGAACTTGCTGTCCCTGGCCCCCACGTCCTTGCCTCCCAGGGCGATGTCCGCCTCCAGCGTGGCCTCAGGGGTCCGAATGTCAACGTCAACTGTGGGCAGCTTCACCTCCACGCTGGGGGTGCTGACGTCGGCCTTGGCGCCCTTCACATCCAGTTTTGGGGCCGTGATGTCCACCTGGGGGCCCTTGAAGTCGACCTTGGGCACCTTGAAGCTGGGTGTCTTAACCTTGGGCAGGTGGCCCTTGAGGCCGCCTCTGACGTCCACGTCGGGGAGTGTGGCTTCAGGCACCTCGACGTCGGGGGGCTGAACGGCCTTGACGCCGGACGCGACGTCCACGTCCAGGGACGGGAGCTGGACGCTGAGGTCCCCGGTCTTGAGTTCTCCCTTGGCAGAGGGCAGGGAGACATCGGGCTGCATCTCTGGCAAGGTGACGTCCACGTCGCTGTGCATGGAGGCCTCGATGGATTTGCCTGCTGCGGAGCCCCCGAAGGAGGGCATCTTGAACTTGGGCATCTTGAACTTGCTGTCCCTGGCCCCCACGTCCTTGCCTCCCAGGGCGATGTCTGCCTCCAGCGTGGCCTCAGGGGTCCGAATGTCAACGTCAACTGTGGGCAGCTTCACCTCCACGCTGGGGGTGCTGACGTCGGCCTTGGCGCCCTTCACATCCAGTTTTGGGGCCGTGATGTCCACCTGGGGGCCCTTGAAGTCGACCTTGGGCACCTTGAAGCTGGGTGTCTTCATCTTAGGGAGGTGGCTCTTGAGGCCGCCTCTGACGTCCACGTCGGGGAGTGTGGCTTCAGGCACCTCGACGTCTGGGAGCTGCACGGCCTTGACGCCGGACGCGACGTCCACGTCCATGGACGGGAGCTGGACGCTGAGGTCCCCGGTCTTGAGTTCTCCCTGGGCAGAGGGCAGGGAGACATCGGCCTGCATCTCTGGCAAGGTGACGTCCACGTCGCTGTGCATGGAGGCCTCGATGGATTTGCCTGCTGCGGAGCCCCCAAAGGAGGGCATCTTGAACTTGGGCATCTGGAACTTGCTGTCCCTGGCCCCCACGTCCTTGCCTCCCAGGGCGATGTCCGCCTCCAGCGTGGCCTCAGGGGTCCGAATGTCAACGTCAACTGTGGGCAGCTTCACCTCCACGCTGGGGGTGGTGACGTCGGCCTTGGCGCCTTTCACATCCAGTTTGGGGGCCGTGATGTCCACCTGGGGGCCCTTGAAGTCGACTTTGGGCACCTTGAAGCTGGGTGTCTTCATCTTAGGGAGGTGGCTCTTGAGGCCGCCTCTGACGTCCACGTCGGGGAGTGTGGCTTCAGGCACCTCGACGTCTGGGAGCTGCACGGCCTTGACGCCGGACGGGACGTCCACATCCAGGGACGGGAGCTGGACGCTGAGGTCCCCGGTCTTGAGTTCTCCCTTGGCAGAGGACAGGGAGACATCGGCCTGCATCTCTGGCAAGGTGACGTCCACGTCGCTGTGCATGGAGGCCTCGATGGATTTGCCTGCTGCGGAGCCCCCGAAGGAGGGCATCTTGAACTTGGGCATCTTGAACTTGCTGTCCCTGGCCCCCACGTCCTTGCCTCCCAGGGCGATGTCCGCCTCCAGCGTGGCCTCAGGGGTCCGAATGTCAACCTCAACTGTGGGCAGCTTCACTTCCGCGCTGGGGGTGCTGACGTCGGCCTTGGCGCCTTTCACATCCAGTTTGGGGGCCGTGATGTCCACCTGGGGGCCCTTGAAGTCGACTTTGGGCACCTTGAAGCTGGGTGTCTTCACCTTGGGCAGGTGGCCCTTGAGGCTGCCTCTGACGTCCACGTCGGGGAGTGTGGCTTCGGGCATCTCGACGTCGGGGGGCTGCATGGCCTTGACTCCGGACACCACGTCCACGTCCACGGATGGGAGCTGGACGCTGAGGTCCCTGGTCTTGAGTTCTCCCTTGGCAGAGGACAGGGAGACATCGGCCTGCATCTCTGGCAAGGTGACGTCCACGTCGCTGTGCATGGAGGCCTCGATGGATTTGCCTGCTGCGGAGCCCCCGAAGGAGGGCATCTTGAACTTGGGCATCTTGAACTTGCTGTCCCTGGCCCCCACGTCCTTGCCTCCCAGGGCGATGTCCGCCTCCAGCGTGGCCTCAGGGGTCCGAATGTCAACGTCAACTGTGGGCAGCTTCACCTCCACGCTGGGGGTGCTGACGTCGGCCTTGGCGCCCTTCACATCCAGTTTTGGGGCCGTGATGTCCACCTGGGGGCCCTTGAAGTCGACCTTGGGCACCTTGAAGCTGGGTGTCTTAACCTTGGGCAGGTGGCCCTTGAGGCCGCCTCTGACGTCCACGTCGGGGAGTGTGGCTTCGGGCACCTCGACGTCGGGGGGCTGAACGGCCTTGACGCCGGACGCGACGTCCACGTCCAGGGACGGGAGCTGGACGCTGAGGTCCCCGGTCTTGAGTTCTCCCTTGGCAGAGGGCAGGGAGACATCGGGCTGCATCTCTGGCAAGGTGACGTCCACGTCGCTGTGCATGGAGGCCTCGATGGATTTGCCTGCTGCGGAGCCCCCGAAGGAGGGCATCTTGAACTTGGGCATCTTGAACTTGCTGTCCCTGGCCCCCACGTCCTTGCCTCCCAGGGCGATGTCTGCCTCCAGCGTGGCCTCAGGGGTCCGAATGTCAACGTCAACTGTGGGCAGCTTCACCTCCACGCTGGGGGTGCTGACGTCGGCCTTGGCGCCCTTCACATCCAGTTTTGGGGCCGTGATGTCCACCTGGGGGCCCTTGAAGTCGACCTTGGGCACCTTGAAGCTGGGTGTCTTCACCTTGGGCAGGTGGCCCTTGAGGCCGCCTCTGACGTCCACGTCGGGGAGTGTGGCTTCGGGCACCTCGACGTCGGGGGGCTGAACGGCCTTGACGCCGGACGCGACGTCCACGTGCAGGGACGGGAGCTGGACGCTGAGGTCCCCGGTCTTGAGTTCTCCCTGGGCAGAGGGCAGGGAGACATCGGCCTGCATCTCTGGCAAGGTGACGTCCACGTCGCTGTGCATGGAGGCCTCGATGGATTTGCCTGCTGCGGAGCCCCCGAAGGAGGGCATCTTGAACTTGGGCATCTTGAACTTGCTGTCCCTGGCCCCCACGTCCTTGCCTCCCAGGGCTATGTCCGCCTCCAGCGTGGCCTCAGGGGTCCGAATGTCAACGTCAACTGTGGGCAGCTTCACCTCCACGCTGGGGGTGCTGACGTCGGCCTTGGCGCCTTTCACATCCAGTTTGGGGGCCGTGATGTCCACCTGGGGGCCCTTGAAGTCGACTTTGGGCACCTTGAAGCTGGGTGTCTTCATCTTAGGGAGGTGGCTCTTGAGGCCGCCTCTGACGTCCACGTCGGGGAGTGTGGCTTCAGGCACCTCGACGTCGGGGAGCTGCACGGCCTTGACGCCGGACGCGACGTCCACGTCCAGGGACGGGAGCTGGACGCTGAGGTCCCCGGTCTTGAGTTCTCCCTGGGCAGAGGGCAGGGAGACATCGGGCTGCATCTCTGGCAAGGTGACGTCCACGTCGCTGTGCACGGAGGCCTTGCCTGCTGCGGAGCCCCCAAAGGACGGCATCTTGAACCTGGGCATCTTGAACTTGCTGTCCCTGGCCCCCACGTCCTTGCCTCCCAGGGCGATATCATCCCCGTCCTTGTTTTCTTTGACATTAGTTTCTTTTTCTCTTCCTTCCTGTTTTGTTTTTTCTAAGTAGTTTTCTTCTTGGTCTGGTTTCTCTCTCTTGGTCCTTGTTTCTTCTCTGTCCTCTGCTTTGACTCTGAACTTCGGAGTTTTTAGCTTTGGGAATCGAACTGGTGTCCCCCACAGGACTGTGCCACTGCTTGTCTCCTGCGTCTTGTCTTTTAGCGACAGCCTCGCCAGCTCTTGCTCCAGCTCCAGCACGTCTTTCGGCTCGCTCTGCCCTGCCCCTCTTGGTCTCCTGTCTCCTTTCCTTGTCCCCATGGGGTCCTCCTTGCCAAGGTGTGGCTCGTGTTGTTCCCACCCTTCTCTTCTGTGTTTCTTCTCTGTGGCTTTTCTGTTGTCCCCCTGAGTCATCTGAGCTGACTCTGCACGCTGTTCCGTGCTCAGGCGACCTTTTGGGGCAGCTGCTTTCTGCCGTGTCTCTTCCGCCACTCCAGTCATGCTCTCTTCCTGCGCGTCGCTCCAGGCCTCAGCCTCCCCCTGGAGCCCCGCATGCTCCTCTCCTCCTTGGGCCCCTCTGGCCCGCTGCCAGCCTGCGCACCCCGCCTTTCCCGAGAGCTTCCTGAATCTCAGGTTTATGAGACCTTTCCTGCGTCTGCCCTTGCTGCCTGCCTTCATTTCCTGCGCGTCGTCAGGGAGCTGTGCCTCTGTGTCCGTGCTGGTGGGCGACACGTCTCCGTCGGCTCCCTGCTCGTAGGCTTCTGAGGAGCTGTGTGACCTCCTGGGGCCCGGGCGGCCTTTGCTCTTGATGGCCTGGAATTTGGGCCACGACAGCCGTTCCCTCTGGGCCTTTCGCCCTCTGCCTGTGCGGGTCTTCGATAGTAGCCGCTCTTGGTCCCCTTCTCCTTCCAGCGTCTTCGTGGGCGTGTCCAGAAGGCCTTCCGTGGTGACGTCCTGCTCCTGAAATACAAGGGCAGGGAGGGGGGTGGGGGGAGAGGGCCTCTAGGCTCTGGCTTCTGTCACCTCTGAAGACAGTGACTCCTGCTGTGGCTCAGAGCCCAGGGAAGCCTGTCCACGCACTTTAACATGACAGAGACACATCTCTGCCGTTTGCAACTCCATGGCAGGGCCCCGGGGGCTTTGGAAGTGCCGGATGCTGGCATGCCGGGAAGGTTTCGGCGTACGCACGTAAGAGGCAAGGCAGTGATGAGAAGGAACAAGGCAAACCCATGGCCGGCACCTGGGCTCTGTGGGTGCTGGGTGAGTTGGGCATTACTCAATAGAAATGCTGGTCTTGGGGTGTGGGTGCTGGGTGAGGGTGGGGGCTCACTGGTGGTGCTGGGGGATGTTTGAGGGGAGTCGGGGGTGCTGGTGGGGGATTAGGGAGCAGGTGTGTGCTGGGGTGGAATTGGGGGAGCGGGTGGCTGCTGGGGAGGTTTTGGGGTACAGGTGGGTGTAGGTGGGTTAGGGGGAGCAGGTGGGTGCCGGGGGAGGTCTGAGGAGCAGGTGACGGGGAGAGTCAGGGAGCGTGATTGGGTGCTGGGGTGGGCGGGGAGGGAGGGATGGGGCTCCGGGAGTCGGGAGTGGGGGAGGGGGTGGGGACAGCTGGTGAGTGTTGGGCGAGGTGAGGGAAGGAGTGAATCCGCACAAGTGAGTTCAGGACCCCTGGTTCCAGGGAGTTCCAGGACAGTAGGAGGGTCAGTGGGACATGAGGCTCAGTGAGGAAGTGAGGTCCTGCATGCAGGAGGCCTGGGTTTGCTCAGGAACCACTGGGGGGGAAAAGAGAAGAGGGAGAGAGAGGAGGGCAGAGAGGGATACGGGAAGGGAGGAGCAGAGCGGAGAGAAGGGAAAGGGAGGGGGAGAGAGGGAAGAGGAGAGGGAGGGGGAGGGGCCAACGGAAGGGGGCGGGAGCCCTGCCCCGTGGTCACCTGCTGGCAGGCTTGCTGTGCCTCAGGAAGCTTCCGGCGGATGCAGAACTGCACCTTGTAGGGCTCGGAGTACTGCAGGATCTTGAGCGCGTCTTCGTACCGGATGTCATCGAAGAAGATGGTGGCGCTGAGCAACTGATCCCCTGGACACAGACACGCCCTTGAGCCCCACCGTCACGGGGGCCCGTGGGATGCGGAGGGCGCCCCGCACACGCGCAGCTCGAGCCCTGCCCTCCCTCCGACGCACCTTCCTGCAGGCTGAAGAGCTTGGCCGCGGTGGAGCCCTTGAGCACCTGCTTGACGAAGAGGCCGTGGCGCCCGCCGCCCGCCACGCTGTAGCCGCTCGCGCCCGCCTCCACCTCGGTCTTCAGCGTGGTGGCCTCCGCACCCTCCTGCGAGACGCGCCGTCAGAGCGCCCCCGGTCCAGGCCCAGCCGCTGGGCAGAACCTCCCTCCCGCTCCCTTGCTCCGGCCCACTCCTGACCATGCGGTGCTGTCACCCTCCACACAGGTCTAGAACCTTCCTTGGCCTGTGCCCAAGCTGGCCACAGTGGACCCCATTGCGCTCGCCTTCTTCCCCCCGCCCCGATGTCTCTCCAGGATAGTGGGCAGGTGTGCAGAGCCAATGTCTCGCTCCTTCCATGCCTGGCGGGGCCCCTCTCCCTGACCCCGCCCCCGCACACCCACCTCTGTGCGACTCATCCTGGAAAAGGTCCGCGAGTCCCCCGAGTCCCGTTTCCGCCAGGCTCTCCGGCTGCCCCTTTCGTCTTCCTGCAGCCAGACACGGCAGTTAGCGCCAGGGACCCCGGAGACAAGTGACCCCCAGCCCCCTTCTCGGGGTGCCCCACCATAGCTGGGCTTGGGGTGCCAGCCCGAGGAAAGAGCACGAGCCCTTAGGGGTGTGCAGGGCTCCAGTGCCAGCTCGCAGTGTCGGGTGCTGGCCCTGCTGTTCCCACCGTTCAGCTGAAGGGGGCCCCAGGATAGGCCGCCGGTGAGCCCTGACATGCAGCCTCACCACGCCCTGCGTGCATGCAGTATCCTTACCAGGAGGCCCACGCCGACGCCCTCGGTGCACTCGTACACTGGGGACGAGCCCTGCGGTCGGGGCCGAATGATCTCAGCCCCAGGCCCCTCTGTCACCTGCAGGAGAGGAGCACACTGTCCTCAACCCGTTGGCTGGCAGGGGCAGAGGGGCTGGGGAGTGGCAGGACCCTGGCCTCACTTACAGAGTTCTCAGTTTCGAGGTCCAGATCCTCAGGTTGAAGGCGCCGGCCGGCAGCTGCACGGGAGAGTCAGAGTCAGAGTAAAGTGAGGGTCGGTGCAGGCTGGAGCCACGGCACAGCAGGGAGGACGCATGCCTCACACGCCGCCGTCCCATGTTCAAGCCCCAGCACCCCATAAGGGCCCCTGACCACCACCAGGAGTGACCCCTGAGTGCAGAGCCACAAGTAAGCCCTGAGTACTGCTTAGTGTGGGCCAAAAAATAAACCCCCCAAAAGTGAGAGAGTGGAGATGGGGGAGACTTGCCCAGAATAAGGAGCTTCTGCACCCCTGTTGCCCCTGAAGAGGAGCACGCACTGTGCTCCCTGGAGGGGGAGGAGCCCCTGCACCGTGCGTCTGGAGCACCCGCCTGCTTGGGAAGTCCCCAGCTCCGCACTGAGAGCAGCCCCTGAAGCCCCTGGCGGCTATCGGCCCAAACCCAAATCATAAAGCCTGAAGCCATCAGGTCTGGAGAATCCGTGGGAAATGCCATGCTAACGCTTCAGTGAAGAGAATATCAGAAAGAAGCTGGAAAAGGCAAGAGCCGGACTTTCAGAGAGGCTGGAAGTGATGCAACAGCAACGGACTGCAAACCTGCTGGTCCCCGAGACGACCTGGGCGAACAGAGGGGACAGAGGGTGTGAGGAAGCAAACAGCTTCCACCCAGGCCACTGCTGCGTTCGGCTGGATGACCACTGCCAGTCAGGAGGAAAACCCAAAAACGTCATGGGGCAGAAGCGCCACCAACCCCACAGGCAGACGGAGATGTGAGGCCCCACACGCCTCAGGTGGGACGTGCCCGGGAGGCCCAGCCCGGGGGCGTGCTTGGGGGTCCCAGCCAGCTCTCCGGCGGACAGCGGGTGCCACCGGTTGCCTTGCTGGTCCTGGGCAGGTCTTAATTGTGGGCCTTCGCCTGCTCCTCGTCATAGCTCGTCCTGTGCATAAGAGGCTGTTTCATGAGCGGGCGGTGACCACAGGTGGGAGGAAAGGGCCAACGGCTTGAGCCAAAGTTGCTTCATTTCCCCAGAATACTGACATACTGCTAGGGGCTCCTCTGGGAGTGAGCACTGTACACAGGCCCTCAGGAAGCCTGGTGAGCAGAGAATGTTCTGGAACTAGATGGTGATGACCGCACAAGTCTACAAAGTCCTAAAAGTGATTGAATTGCACAGCTGCCATAGGTAGGGGCTCCGATGGGCAAACGGGTCGTTAAAAGAGAGGCCAGGCTCAGGAGAGAGCAGAGAACCAGATGCCTAGAGACGCCAGGCTGCCTCATCAGGGCAACCTGGGGGAGGGCGCAGGTGAGGCCCCGCCCCGCCAACTGAGCCAGCCCGGCCAGTCGAAAAGCTCCAGAACCCAATCGCCGCCCGGCTCATGGCCACTTTCCACACGCTCGTGTGAATGTATTCCTGGACCAGGCCGCTGATATACCAAGAGTAGCACACCACTTATGATGGGGTTTAAAGCAGAGGGCAATAATCTTAGGGGGAAATCTATGTATACACATATAAGCACACAGGGCTCAATGAGGGACCGTATATATGTGGGGGACAGCATGTGTGACACAGGGGAGGACTCGGTGGCCACCAGGCCCATAAATGGGCACTGGATACCTGCAGAAGACCAAGACAGCCAGGGCCCCTGCTGGGCGGCACCCGACCCCGATGGCCTGCAGGAAGTGGGCTAAAGAGCAGAAAACTTGGGGCTGAAGTGAGTAGTAGGGCACAGTGGGTAGGGCGTTTGCCTTGAATGCAGCCAACCTGGGTTCGATTCCCAGCATCCCATATGGTCCCCTGAGCACTGCCAGGGGTAATTCCTGAGTGCAGAGCCAGGAGGAACCCCTGAGCATTGCCGGCTGCGACCCAAAAAGAAAAAAAAAAAAGAAAATTTGCAGCAGAGGTGGTAATGGGGACTGACAGAGGACAGCAGGGAGGGCCGACCCGGGTTCAGTTCCCCACATCCCCCATATGGTCCCCGAGCACCCCCAAGGGTAATTCTTGAATGCAGAGCCGAGTAACCCCGGATGTGACCCCAAAACAACAACAAAAGAAGGTAGTCAGACTCCATGTGCTGAGGGGAGGCCCAGAGAAGCGGCAAGGGTGGGGGGCACCTTCGGACACGGCCGCTGAGGATGGAGCACGCAGGTCAGTAAGCATGGGATAACCCCCAAGCAGAACAGCTTTTGGGGGTCACAGTGGTCCTGGGAGTGTGGGGAGCTGAGCAAGACGCGTGGACCATGCTCCATGCGACCATGTGGGACCCGCCCACATACTCAGCGGGCCAGACCTTCGGGTTCCAGCATTTTGGGCTGCTGTGGCCACAGGAGGCTGCCTGTGCCGACCCCATTTGACCCCATTCCTGGGGAGGGTTGCAGGCCCCCACATCCTCCCGCTCTCCTAGCCGCACCCAGAAACCAAGGCTGTGTGCTCGCCCAGCCACGGACCAGCCTCTCCACGGCAGCCAGGGGAGCAGCCCCGAGAGCCTGGGTGGGAGGGCCCGTGTCCCCAGACACCCCCACGCACAGAGACCCTGTATACAGACTCCAAGGACATGGCGTGCTCCACATGCAAACTCCAGGGATCCCGTGTACCCCCGTTTACAGCCCATAGATGGGACCCCTGTGGTTCCCACCTCTGAACCCCCGGAACACACAGGACCTCGGAGGATTTAGCGCCGGGGTGCCAGGCTGGGTGAGATGCCCCACCCACGCTCAGCCAACCTGAGGGCCCCTCCCTCACGACACCCATCACCCCATCCCAGCAGGAAGGAGGAGGGGCGGGGGCCAGGGAAATCATACCAGCACTGGCCCGGGTCAGCCCTGGAGACCCCATGACACCCATCGTGAGGTCTCCAGCTACGTGCCCAGGCACCTGCTGTCAGGACTCTGCAGGGGGCCAAGGGGAGGGGCCCCAGAACCCCCCTCCCTCTTGGGGCTTCCCACAAGAGCCTCAGCTGCCTGTGTGCTGAGTCAGAGGCAGCAAAACAGCCAGAGGTGCAGGGCGTGGCAGAGAGAGAGAGAGAGCTGTGTGTGTGTATAGAGGCCTTGTGGAGGGGGGTGAGGGGAGGGCCCTGCAGGTCCTGGAGAAGGGGGTGGGGCCCTGTAGGGCTGGGGGGTGTAGAGGCGAGCTAGCGCGGAGGCAGGCTGGGCACCAGGCAACCCGGGTGGCAGCAGAAGGCCTCGGTTGATCTCCAGGCTGCTGGACCAACTGCACCCCCAAAGCTCTCAGGAGACTTCAGGCCTCTTCAGGGGTGTCAGGCGGCCCCCGTGCCCAGCGCCCGGGGGGTGTCAGGAGCTGAGGCGCCACACCCAGCTCAGCCTTGTCACTGCTGGCCCAAGCCTGTCCTGGCCTGGCCCCTCCCTCGTGACACCCATCCCCCATCCCAGCAGGGGAGGAGGAGCCCCATCCCACTGGGGGCAGGGGGGCCTGCCCAGGGATGGAGGGACAGGGAGGGAGTCCTGGAGTGGGAGGTGTCATCAGCCTACCTGACCTGGCCCAGACTGGCCCTGCCCTGCCCGGCTCGGGACCATAATAAAGTGACTCATGGCACTTTTTTAAAGTGAGTCCTCCAGAAGCACTTCACAGTCGGGCATCACGCCGCCTGCCACACGTCCACCCCGCCCCGGGCCTCCCGCCTGGTTTCCAGAGAGGAGGCACAGGGGTGGCCAGAGAGCCGGCGCCGGAGGGCTGCTGTGGGGACAGCCCCAGGAGGTGCTCTGTGGCGGGCCTGGGGGTCAGGTTCCAGGCAGACTTGGGGACTCCCCTGCCACCAGCCAAGAGGGAATTCTTGGGCTCCAGGGGAGGGTTGCTGCCCCCAAATCCAGGTGGCCATCTCAGCCGGGGACCCTGGGTCACATCCCTGGCCCCATGCCCGGGCCTGGCCGCAGGGGTCAGATTGCATGTCCGGAGTTTGTGGGAACAGTGATCTGCGCAGGGACGCCCTGAGCACGGCCTCCAGGGACCTGCCAGGAGGAGCCCGCTAGGTGGGCGGGACCCCCTGCTGGGCCGTGAGCACTTGAGTGACCCCAGATGGACCGGCACATTTCCCCCCACACACAGCATTCACACACCCACATGCACAGCTGGCACGCACGTACACACAATATTCACACACCCACATGCACAGCTGGCACACATGCACACACAATGCTCACGTACCCACACGCACAGCTGGCACGCACACACAACATTCACGCACCCACACGCACAGCCAGCACACATGTACACACAATACTCACATACCCACATGAACAGCCGGCACGCACGTACACACAAAGTTCACACACCCACACACACAGCCAGCATTCGCGCACACACAACGTTCACACACACACACACAGCTGGCACACACATACACACAATATTCATACACCCACATGGACAGCCGGCACGCACGTACACACAACGTTCACACACCCACACGCACAGCCAGCCTACACACACAACCAGCATTCACGCACACACACGATGTTCACGCACCCACATGCGCAGCCAGCATTTACACACTCACATCCGGCCCATTTCTGCAGGGAGAGGGCGGCTGACTGGTCACAAGACTGGCCAGTGCAGCACCCACAGCCTGCTCGGGGCGGCTCAGACAGCAGCGCAGCTGGCATGGGTCTGTGCCACCACAGCCGAGCCCGGGGCACGACACCAGCCTCCGAGCCCCGGTGGTCCAGCCTTGCCCTGCCCTACCCCAGGCCCCCCACGCAGCCTGATCCCTGCCGCCCCCAGTCATGGCTGGGCCCTGTCACTGCCCTTCCCCACAGGGCAGGGGGCCTGCTCCAGGCGGGGCACAGGTGGGTACAGTCAACAGGGCACCAGAACTGGGCCGGTGCAGCGCCCCTACCCACTCCGGCAGCAGGCGGGTGTTGGAGCCAGGCCTCCCCCGCCCAGGCCCAGGGCACCTCACAGGACCGACTGTCGTCCACAGCTGGGACCCTCTTGGCCCGGCCCCGGTGGTCAGTCCCAGGTGGGCTCCACCCCCAGAGACACCCCTGGCTCTCGACCCCCCACAGACCTGGGGGACTAGGCACCCTGGGGCCAGCAACGCGGGGCAGGCAGGAGGGGCGCAGCCACTTACCCAGTCGAGGTGCTCCCGGCCGTGCGGAGGAAGGGCTGGCCAGGCGGGGCTCCTGCGACTGCCGCCCGCTGCCCGCCTCCTGCTGGCCCCGCGCCCCAGAACCCCGTGCCTCAGAGGGCGCCAGGCCAGGCCCTCCCCGGCAGCCCCGCCACAGCCCAGGGAGGGAAAGCCCGGCCAGCCCAGGGCCTGCTCGGGAGTGAGACACACAGTGGACCCCCCTTGATGCCCCAGCAGGAGGCCACAGGCCTGGGGCGTGGCTGGAGCCCCTGGGAGTGCATTGAACACCCCATGTGAGACTAAGTGGCAGCTGAATCACGCTGTCACCTCACCTGCTGCGGGGGGGAGGGGGGGCAGGCTGCTCCTCCGCCCGGAAAGACCCACCCTCAGTGGAGGTGGAGTGAGGGGACGGAGGGCCGTCACCCTCAGTGGAGAGTGGTGGTCCCAGGGGTGGGGGCGTGACTGGGGGGTCACCAGGCCCCCCTGAACACCCACTGTACCGAGCAGTCACCTCACCCCAGGACACTGGCCCGGAGCACACTCTGAACCCCCATTGGCTCTACAACCCTCAAGTTACCTCCCTGCACCCCCTGCCAGCTCCAGCCTCCTGGCAGGACCCGGCCACTGCCTCGGGAAGCCCGAGGTCCCCAGCTCGCAGCCAGGGATGGGGTGGGGCCTCTGTGCTCGACCCCTGGGGCCCCGCACACCCCTCCCCACATCCAGGTGGCCAGCACACTGGTCTCGGGGGCTTTCCGGCAGGACGGGGGGGGGGGGGTGGTCAGCATGCCGGCTGCTGAGGGCACCTGTGCAGATAAGGGCCCTGGCGGCACCTGCTGCCCCCCGGAGCCCCGCCCAGCCGGCTCAGCTCCACCAGGACCCGCTCCTCGGGAGTTGGCGTGGGAACGGGGTGCGGGCAGCTGATCGGGAGCATGGCATTCTCAGCGCATGTGTCACGAGTACCCACGGGCGCGGGTGCCACCCTAGCAGGGCTGCCAAGGAGGGAGCCACCCACCTGGGCTCCCAGCCAGGGCCAGGGATGCCCCAAACAAAGAGCCCTTGGCTGGGCCCTGGGAGCCCCCCCCAAAGCCCGCAGTCCTCGCCCCTTCAGGAGCCAGACCCTGGGAGCCCCACCCCTGCCCTGAGTCAGGCCCTGGCAGCTGGGCAGATCCCCCCAGAACCCCACGGCCAGGCACCTCCGGGGCCAGCTCCCGGCTACAGAGCATCAAGTATTCAGCCTCCGGCAGCCCCCATACCCCGGCGTCCCCAAAGGAAAACCAGAGGGGCGCCTGGCCCAGAGACCCTCCGAGGGGCTCAGCACACACAGGTGATGGCCCTTGCCCTGTGGGCGTCACTGTGCTCCAGGCCCTCCAGGCACCTCCCAGCCTAACTCCAGCCTCCACTACCCCTAATCCCGATCCTTCCAACACCCTAAAAAGACTTCGGGGTGCTGTGTACCCCAAGAACACACCTTGACACTATTTCCCAGACGGTCCCTTCGGCCACTCCATCCCCCGAACCCTAGGCGCCCACCACAAAGTCACCCCCTAACATAACAGCCCTGGCCGGCACCAAGTCCTCCTGCTGAGCTGCTCAGAAGCCAAGGGCTGCTTCCTTCAGGAAGCCCTCCCCGACTGCGTCCCTCGGAGACTTGGGCCTTTCCCTCCCGCAGTGGGAGAAGAGCACCCACCTTGGGTTCTTCCGGGCACCTCCAGTTCTCGAGTCCTGGGCAAGCCAGTCTCAGGCTGGCCCTGACACTGTCACAGGGAGGACCCAGGTGTGATTGCCCCGGGACGGTGCAGGTTCAGGGGGTGCCGTCACCAGCAGGGGCTCTGACCCTGCCCAAGGTGGGGGCGGCAGGGGCTGGCCCAGAGGCAGAGCGCGAGGCGAGGCCCCATCCTGACAGGAGAATCAAGGGGTCACGCCCAGGAAGACCCAGAGGACTCAGGCAGCCCCAGAGCGAGCCGGGGCACAGCAGAGCCCACAGGAGCCGAGGGGGGCGGGCACGCCTTGTGGCCTGCGAGGCCCCCGCATGGGCACGCCTCTGCGGGCACCTCCTCGGGCCTGGTGAGGGATGTGGAGCCCCCGGGGGGGTGCGGGGAAGTGTGGGGGGTGGCGGGAGGGGCGGACAGGTGGGGCAGGCACCCTGCAGGGGGCGGGGGTGATGGGGCCAAAGGCCCTGGACCCTCTACGAGGCCCTTCTCAGGAGGGTCGCTCTGAGGGGCAGACCCCGGCCTGGGGCAGCAGTCTTCCTGCCAGAGTCCACGGGGCCACTGTGCCCCTTCCCTGCGGCTCGGAGACCAGGCGCCCCATTGTGGGGGTCCGGGCGCCTCCCGAGGGTGCAGGCTGCGAGGCTCCCAGGGAGCGGACGGAGAGGGCGCCCTGGGCCAGCGCCTGCTCTCAGCCTGGACGGGGGTCTTCAGGGGGCGCTGCAGCAGGCGCACTGGCAGCGGGCTCAGCCGCCGTGCCACCAAGGCCCTGGGCGGCAGCCAGCCAGGTGTCCAGGGTGTGGCCGGCTGCGGCATTTCCAACTCTGGCCGGAGCTGACCCAGCCCAGCCTGCTGACACACCTGAGGGCAGACACACGTGCACACCGACATGCACACGGGTGCACACACTGCACCTGGCGGAGGCCCACAGGGACACGGACCCCTCGCTGCCCGCGTCCCTGGAGGTCCCTCGTGGACGAACCCCACGTCCCTTCCCAGCTCTGGGGGACCCTCCGACCCCGACCCCACTCCTCACCAGGGGCCAGAGCTCAGGCGCACTCTGCGCAGCCACCCCTGCGTGAGTGCCACCCCCGGGCGCCCCGGCCCCGCTTCTCCAGGGGCCACGCTTCGGGTCCCCACGGAGCACGCGGGTCGCAGACCCTGCCCGGCCCACCTCGGGCGCCAAGGCACCTGAAGCGCGGACGCGGGTCAGCGGCAGGCCGGCTGAGCTGCGACCCCCGGAAGCCAGAGGCACAGCCACGCGAGCGACCCCCGCCCCGAGCCGCGCGGCGGAGCCCACCCGTCCCCGGGGAGCGGGCTGCAGGCGGGGAGGCGCACCGCTGCCGGGGGCTCCGGCCCAGCTGGGCAGCACCACGTGGAAGCAGTCGCACATCGCGGCGCGGGCAGTGCGGGCCGCCCGGCCCGGGCTCCAGCTGCGGGTCCGGGGGCGCGTCCGGGGCGGCGCGGCGGGCGGGCTGCGCGAAGGGCTGCGGCCTCGGACTGCGGCCGGTGCCCAGACCCCGGCGGCCGGCCCCGCCCCGGCCCGCCCCCCAGCGCGCCCGGCCACTGCGGAGCCGGCCCGGGCGGCGGCGCTGGCCTCATTCAGCACATTGGCTGCGGCCCGGGACGCCCCGCCCCTCTCCCCGCTCAGGCCCCGCCCCAGACCCGGCCCCGGCCCCGCCCCTCCCGACACTCGGCCCCGGCCCACCCCAGACCCGGCCCCTCCCCTCCAGAGACCCGGCCCGTCCCTCCCCGAGACCCGTTCCCGGCCCCGGCCCACCACAGACCCGGCCCCATCCCTCCCCGGGACTCGGCCCCGGCCCCGCCCCTCCCGAGACCAGGCCCCGCCCCCACATCAGGCCCCGCCCCTGCCCGCCGCCCCGCCCAGCCCCTCCCAGGCCCCGCCCCACCCTGCCCTCCCCTGCCAACCCCCAGAGCAAAAGCACACCCCCCCTCCCCGTGCGGCCTCCCCCACCCCCTGCCCAGGTCCTGGCCACTGCCCTCGCAGCCCCTCACGTCCATCGAGTCACTAGCCGGGGCACGGGGCTCTAAAAGCAGATGGTGGAGGCCCGTGTCAGGCCAGGAAGAGGGGGCACTGCACCGGGGGGCAGAGTGAGACGGCACAGATGACCCCGCTGTGCCTGCAGCAGATGACGGGGATGTGAACTTGGGGCCCGCTGTGGCCTGCGGGGGGGGTCCCTCTGGGGCCATCCCAGGAGGGGGGCCTGCAAGTAGGAGTCCAGCTGAGCCCGTCCTCCTGGGACGCCCGTCCTCCTGGGTCGCGCTGGGCACCTGCACTCCAAGATCAGGCCGAGGGCACACCAGGTGGAGATCCAGGCCTCAGGGCTATGCAGAGGTGCCGGCTGGACACACGTGTGCATGCATATAGACACACCACATACATGCATATATGCACAGAGACACACCACATGCACACGTAGACACATCATTGTGCACATACATGAACGTAGGACATGCACATGCATGTTTCACGCAGGCGCAACACACATAAACAGACACAAGACACATGGATAGATGCACATAGCAATGCATATACACACTACATACACATACACAAATGTGCACACGTATAGACACACCACATATAAACTTGCACACATATAGACATGCCACCCATATGCATGAATGCACACACAGGCACATACGTGCAGGCACACACATAAACACCACATAGGTGTGCATGTGCACACAAAGACACACTCTCATAAACACACATACGCACATTCCAGACACCACACATTTATTGCACATACAATAACCACAAACACACACACACACTGCTGGACATAGATCCTACGAAGACACACATGCATCTGTGTTCACACAGACACACTCTTTTCCCCGGGACAGCTGCAGGAGGAGGGCCACCGGCCCGGAACACACCCACTATACGGCCAGGTGCGAATTCCCCGACTCGGACCCCGAGTGCCCCTTGGCCCCTGAGGTAACGGTGCTGCAGACGCACGCGCTCCCACCGTGGGGCCCGCAGCTGCAGCGGGCATGACGCACAGCCAGTTCCCGGAGCTGTGCTGCAGCCCGGCTGTCTGCCAGCAGCGGGCAGACAGTGACGGCCCTGCCGGGAAGGGCCGCGCGGCCTCTCTCCTCCGCCCACACAGCCCATCCTTCAGCGGGGCACCGGGTGGGCTCTGCTCCCTCCACCCCTCCACCTCAGGTGCCGGGGCGGCCCTGCCCACTCCCCTCGGCCCTGACTGGTCGCTGCTCTCCCACGGGCCCAGGGAGAGCTGTTGGTGTCTGACGGCGGAGAGAGCTGTGCGCATCTGATGGTGGGGGCTGGGGAGAGCTGCTTGTCCCCCTGAAAGGGTCTGGAGGGGTCCAGCCGCCTGTGCTGCGGCTGTGCCAGGGCCCTCGGGCAGGGTGGGCCCCACCTCAGCTCCTGGGCAAGGTGTGGCCCCAGCCCCTGTCCCACTGGGCGGCAGCTGGAGGAGTTGGCTCTGCTCTCGCCCAGGCCCTGTGCTGCGTGGGGTCTGGGCAGAGGGCTCTGGGGGAGGCCCTCCCTTCCTAAGGGCCGAGCCCAGGGGGCGGGGGTGGGCGTCCCCCTGCGGCCTTCTCTGAGCAGTCCCCTGGGCCCCCACAAAACAGGGCCGGGCTGCCACTGCCAGTCGAGGGGGCCCACCGTTAGACCGAAGTCCCTACCCACCCCCGCCACCTGGGAGCCTCCAGGCTGCGGTTGGTTAGGCTGATCTTTGGAGTTTTGTTTGGGTTTGTTTTGGGGCCACACCCAGCGGTGCTCAGGGCTGCCTCCTGGCTCTGCATCAGGGGTCACTCCTGGTGGGGGCGGGGGACCCTGTGGGGTGCCTGGGTCGGCTGCGTGCAAGTAAACTCCCTCCCTGCTGTACCATCGCTCTGGCGCCAAGCCTGAGTATCTTATTTTGGCGGGGGGGGGGGGGGGGGGGGGGCGTTCCCAGCCAGTGCTCAGGGGCCTTGGGGAACCTTCCACTGCGGCTTGGCCAACCGGGACGGTGGCCGACTGCAGGCTGCGACGCCCAGGGGACTCTAAGGCCACAGCAGGCGGTGGGGGGACACCAGGGGCCAGGATCTAGCTGGGTCTGCACAGATAAGGCTGGTCCCTCAACCTGAGTAGCTGCTGGGGGCTTGGGGCACCTCACCTGGGGCCCAGCTGTGCTCACGCCTGTCAGGGTGGGGGCTCGGCCGGGCAGCAGATGGGGGTTGCCTCGGGGGCTTCCTGGGGCTCCCAAGATGATCTCAGCAGGGCAGTGGCTGGAGGTAGAGGTGGGAGGACTCTGTGGAGTGGGGGGCCCGCTGGGCAGGGCCAGGAACCCGCCGCCCTACCATGTCCAAGCCGGCCATGCTTTTGGGGTGCCCGTGCCCGTCACCTGCTAGAGCTGGGGGGCAGGCACAGTGCCTCCGGGGAGCCGGGCCGACCAGAGCCCCCTGTCCTGTTTCTGGGCGCTGGCCTCTCCTCATGCTCCCCCCTCCCTGCAACACCCTCTTCCTTCCAAGGCGCCTAAAGCCTGGGCGGGGCTCGGAAGGTGCCAGGGATGGGGCAGCAGGCCAGGCCATCCTCAGAGGCGGCTCATCGGCACGGGCGCCTGGGGCCCATCTGCCGCCTGCGCCCCTGCCGCCCCGCAGGCCTGGACGTGGCTTCCGATCAGCGGCCAGCCCTCTTTATTCTGGAGGCTTCTGGAAAGATCTGCCCCGCCCATCAGCTCCCTGGCTCAGGCCCTGCCCCCCCCCCCACCTCACCTGCCTCTCGGGGCTCCTACAGCACAAAGCTCTGGGACCCCTCCTGCAGGTGGCCCCTGTGGCCACTGCACAGCCCCTGCCTGCTCCCGGGCTCCCCTGGCCCCTGCCTGCTCTGGGGGGCTCCCCCAGACCCTGCCTGCTCCCGGGGCTGCCCCGGCCCCTGCCAGCTCCAGGGGGGCTCCCCCGCCCCGCTGCCCGCTCCCGCCCACTTGGGGCTCCCCGACCCCGCGCCCGCCCCAGCCCCCGCGCCCGAGGGCCGCAGCCCCGCTTGGCGCCGGCACAGCCCGGCCAGCCCCTCGGGAGGCGGCGGCGGCAGGAGGCCGCCGAAGGGTTCGGAGAATGAGCTCATGCGGCAATCGCTAAAATTAAATTTTTAGTAGCTTGGCTGAGGACCCGCAAGAGGCGGTGACGGACGCAGACAGGCGGGCGGGGCCCAAGGTCACGGGCGGGAGGCCCGGCGGGGCGGGGCGGGGCGGGGCCGGCCGCTCTGCGCACGCGCGCCCCGGCGGGCGGGGCCATGACGTCACGCCGATGCGGACGCGCCGTTGCCGGGCAACAGCCGGCTGGGCGGGGCCGCCTTCTGGGATGCGCCGCCACCCGCAGGAGGGAGCTGCTCGGCGAGGGGGACCCCTCGTCCACCCCGCAGGGCCCGCCGGGGCGCGCCCCAGACCCCGCAGGGGGGCACGAAGGGAAGCGTTGGCGCATCCTGGGGCCCCTCGGGAGCCGGGCGGAAACGCTGGGGACGCCGTGCGCGGGGAGCCCCTGCGGAGCCCCCTTTCCTCTCTGCCGCCGTCAGGCGGCTCCGGAGGACTCAGCCCGCTGCCAGGCCCCGGACCCCCAGCCTGGCCCTCCTCCGCCCTCGGCCTCTGCTGGTAGTGACCGGGGCAGCTTGCACGGGCGCCCAGGCCTGGCGGGCGGGCCTGGGGCTGAGCTGGGGAGACACACACGTGCCTGCACCTTCGTCCTTCGCCGGGCAGCTGCACACTGGGCAGGCCAGACACTCCGCCAGACCAAGGCGCCCTGGCTGCAGCTTGGGGGCTCCGGACAGGAGGAGGCAGGGAGACCACCAGCTCCTGTGGGGGCCGGTCTCCAGGCTGCAGCCACTGGCTTTGGGGATCTGGCAGGCAGGCAGGTAAGGAAGAGGAAGGAGTAGGGCGCCCCTCGTCAGGCCAGACCCGTGTCAGGGACATGCCAAGAAACCGAGTGCAGGGCCCCAGGCTCCCGTGTGTGGCCCAGCATCGATGAATGGAGCGGGTGGGCAGGGGTGAGGTGTGCTCGGGTGGGGGTGTAGAGTGGAGCAGATGCAGGGGTGGGGTGTTCGGGGCGGGGTGCGTAGACGTGAGGTGTGCAGAGATCTTTGCTCAGATAGAGAAGGGAGCACCAAATAAAGGGTATTGAGAGGATCCTCTCAGGATGGGAAATGCATGCTGAAAGTAAACGCTAGACCGAACATGACTGCCACCCATTGCCTCTTTTGCAAACCACAGCACCCAAAAGGAGAGAGAGAACAAAAGGGAATGCCCTGCCACAGAGGTGGGGGTGTGGGATGAGGGTTTGGGGGGTGGGAGGGATACTGGGATCCGTGGTGGTGGGAAATGGGCACTGGTGGAGGGATGGGTACTCGATCATTGTATAACTGAAACCCAAGCACACAAATTTGTAAGTCTACAACTGTACCTCATGGTGTTTCACTAATAAAAATTTAAAAAAAAAGAAGTGAGGTGTGCAGAGGTGAGGTGTGTGCAGTGCTCGGGTGAGGGGTGTAGAGTGGAGTGTGCACACACAGGGGTGAGGCACACAGCTGTGACGTGTGCAGAGAAGATGCTCCGTGTCCAGCCCACAGTGGTGACAGGGCCCATGGTCCTCCCTTTCCTCCGGCTCCCCTTCAGCCACTCTGGGGAGCACCTTCCCTCAGAAGGGCACTGGACAGTCCACCCTGCTCTGGGACAGTCAAAAGTGGCTGCCGGGACCGGTGGAACCCGCCCACACCACAGAGTCCAGGCTCCCACAGGCGTGACAGAGCCAGTCTGCAGGGAGGGGCGCCATGCATGCAGGCTGCAGGGGACGTGGTTCCCACGGTGGTCTCAAGGGCCAAGCCTGGGTGCAGGGCAGCGTGGTCACCCTCTCAACCAGCATCCAGGAGGGGACAGCGAGCACCCCCGGCCCAGGGCACCGCCCACCTGCAGAGTCCAGGGGGAAGCGCTGACCAGAACAGTTTTCCGTTTTTTTTTGTGGGGGGAGTAGGGGCCATTCCCGGTGGTGCTGAGGGGAACCACATGGGACGAAGTGGACCGAACCTGGGTGCACCAGGTGCAAGGCAAGTACCCAACCCCCACACTCTCCCGGGCCCAGAACATTCTATGCAAGAGCCAGGGACACTTGAGTGTTTCCCGAGGCTCCCTGCTGGGGGTCCCCACAGCCGGAAGTTCCAGGGGCGAGGAGACCCGCCCTACAGGTGACCACACGCAGGAAGGTGCCCCTGCCCGGGTGACTCCCTGGGCCTCAGCGCAAGCCAAGGCTGGAGCGAACACGCAGCCCCGCAGCCTTGTGAGCCCCTGGACAGTCTCCTGGACCCCAGCAGAGCACCAGTGCCCTGCGTGCAGGGAGCTGGCAGGGCCTTGGTGCCCCACGCTCTGCCCAGGGCGACCTCCGGGGTGGCGGGGGTGGGGCAGGCGGAAGAAATCTACCTACCAGTAGCGACAGTTTGGATCAGAAAAGTCTCTAATGTAGCAGCAGAGGATGTTGATACAAAAAAATAGACTTTTCAGAAAACAGCTGAAAACTTCTAGTGATAAAAGTATAAAAAGTTTAAAAAATATACCTTAAGACAAAATATTACTCGAAACATACGTCAGTCCTAGAGTTTCCCTCTGTGGAGTCCGCAGCGGAGCGAGTTGGGGCCAGCTCCCCGGACAGGACGGCGGGGGCCTCACGCCTCCACCAGGACGCCCACCAGGTGCTCCCGCTCACCCAGGTCCAACTTGCAGCTGGCGCTGGGGGGCGCGGCGGCCGCAGCGGCAAAGCCCTCGAGACCCTCGCCCGGGCCTGTCAGCATGGTGTCCAGGTCGTAGTAGGCGCCGCTGACCTCGGAGAAGAGCTCCCCCACGGCACTGGGCCGCCTCCCCTCCAGGGTCTCAAAGATCTGCCCCAGCGCGGAGGGCAGGCCGCCCCTGCTGTCGTGGGGGCCCCCGGCCCCCCAAAGGCTGTCCTCGGGGCTCTGCGGGGGTGCTTGGGGGAGCAGGTCCTGCGCGGGGTCCGGGCGACACAGGACCTCCGTGGACACCAGGTGCTGCCGCGGGGGTGCGGGGCCGGCGCTGAGGGGTGCGGGCGCGTGCCAGGCCCCGTCCTGCGCCATCTCCTCCTGGATCTGCCGGACCGTGTTGGCGATGAGGACCGAGCGGCACAGGTCGGGCTGCTCCAGCATGTGGCACAGCTGCAGCTTGACCAGGGACATGTCCAGGAGCGACTGGCGCTGCAGGCTGTAGGCCTCCTCGTGGCCGTCAGGCTCGGCGCTCTTCCTCTTCACTCCGCGCGCCAGCATCCTGCCTGGGGACCAGCGGGTGAGTGCCATGGCCCGCGCCCCCACTCCCCCCCCCCGCCACTTCCCAGGCCTCCAGAACCCCTGGGCTCACTCCTGGGCAGTGGGGAGTGGACACGGGGGTTCAGGGGGGTGTGACTGCCCTGCTCCGGACAGGCCGCACCCACGAGACAGATGTGGGGCTCCTCTTGGGTTGACCCGTCCTCCCTGCCCGCTCTGCTACCGCGGGGCTCGGGCGCCGACATGGGTTTCCTGACTAAGCACCAGCCCCGGCCCGCGGACAGGCCCATGCAGCCCTGGGTCGGTCAGTCAGGCCACAAGGCCCAGGCACACTGAGGTTCATGCAAAGGCAGGTCGAGGGCCGGGGCCCAGGCACCCTCGCCTGCTTGCACCCGGGCCACTGGGCAGCGAATGGGTGTGCCCAAGGGGCGTCCAGCTGCCAAGGACCTCCAGGGAACCAGGCTGCCGAGTACTGTCTTCCGAGGCATCGCCAGGCCACATGTGCCCTAGCCTGAGATGCAGGGTCAAAGCACAGGAGTCAGGGACATGAGCTACACACGCCAACAGCGCGCGCACACACACACACACACACACACACACACACACACACACCAGTCCCAGACACATAAGCACACAAACACATGTACAACATGTGCAACACAACCGCACCACAGGCACACACACACCACACCTGCACACACCCACGCAAAATGCACAAGCAACACACAATACAAACATGCGCACACACAGCTGTACAAAGACACATACACACACCCACCCCGCAGGGGGCCAGAGAGATGGTGCAGTGGGCAGGGCACCTGCACTCGATCCCAGTACCCCACATGATCCCCTGAGCACTGCCAGGAGTGAACCCTTGGCTCAGCTGGGCGTGCAAACACCACCCCAAAGCCCGGCCCACCAGAACTGTTCCCAGCACCGGGACCAGCCACTGGCACTAGTCTCCGTCCCATGCCCAAGGCCCCTCTCCCGCCTGCCTGCTCGGGAGCTTCTAGAGCAGATGCCCCTCGGAGTGTGGGGTCCCACGCCCACCACTGCACGACACCATCTCCCCACCTGCAGGAGTGCCCGAGCTGCTGGGACCCCCAGCTCCAGGAGTGGAGGGGCTCCCCTGTCCCTCCGGGCCATCATCTCAGTGGTGGCTCACTTGTCCCCACCAAGAGGGGCAGCCCAGGGTAGTGGGGTCTGGGGAAGGGTCGGTTGTGCGGCTGGCACACCCTGAGTGTGCTGGGGACCCGGGGTGGGGGGGGTGCAGACTCCGGGGCCCAGGACACAGCCACACCAACTCCGCTCACACCCCAAGCCCCAGGCTCCAAGAGTCCCCCAGGTGGGCAGAGAACCGCCCAGCAGGCCAGTTGGTTCCCAAAGGGACTTGACTTCCTGCCTGCCCCCCCCCCCCCCCCCCCCCGCCAGTCTGAGACCCACCACACGTGCTCAGGAGGCGCTGGCTACCCTCCACGTGGACATCCCACTCGAGAGCTGGCCACGGAGCAGGGGCCCCTCCCACAGCCGCCAACAGGAGTGGGTCTCCAGCTCGGCCCCTGCTGCCCTGAAACAGGCCGAGGCCCCGCGCGCGCGGGAAGGGAGCTGCGTCAGCTGGGTGACAGGTCGGTTCAGGGCCCGGGAAAACCCGGGAAAACGCACGGCGGGATGGGGGAAGGGCGGGCGGGCAGGGAGGGGCGGTGCTGGGGGGGATGGATGGGGGGAGGGAAGGCTGGCTGGGTGAGTGGGTGAGTGAGCGGGTAGAAGCGTGGGTGAACGAATGGGCGGAAGGCCGTGCGGAGTGTGAGTGTGCGCGCGCGAGTGTGTGTGTGTGTGTGTGTATGTGTGTGTGTGTGTGTGTGCGCGCGCGCGCGCGCGCGCGAAAGTGCTGGCGTGGCCGGGCAGAGGCAGGGGGCTCGCTCGGGGAGGCCAGGCAGGGCAGGGGCAGGGGGCGCGCTGGGGGAGGCCGGGCAGGGGCCGGGCAGGGGCCGGGCTGGGCAGGGGCGCGCGGGGTCGCGGGACGCGCCTGCGGGCTGCGCCTGGCCCCGGCCGAGCTCGGCCAGGCCGGGCCCTCCCTCGTGGCCGGCCGCCGCCCTGCGGGCCCGCGGGACCGGGCCGGGCCGGCCGGGCCGAGCCCGCTGGGCGCCCCCACGCGGACGGACGGAGCCCCCCGCCCGCGCCCGCCCGCCCGCCCCGCCGGCCCGCGCCCGCCGCTCACCTGCGCCCGCCGCTCACCTGGCCGCCGTCGCCCGCGCGCGCCGTGGGAGGGGCCTGGGGGCGGGGCCTCGGCGCCCACAAAGGCCGGCCCGGCCGCCGCGCGCGCTGATTGGTCGCTTCCAGGGGGCGTGGCCTCGGTTCAAACCGCGGGCGGGGCCGGGCGGCGGGTTCCCGCGCGCACGCGGCGGCCGTTGGAGCCCGCGGCCGTCCGGCCCGCCCGGCCCCCGCCGCGCTCCCAGGGCTCCCCGCGCGGCCGCTGGGGGTCCCGGCCCGGGAGTAGCGCTCCAGTGACGGACGGTGAACCTGGGGCGGGGGCGCTCCCAGGGCCCCTTCCACCCCCAGACCACGCCACGCGCCCCCGGGAGAGGCAGGCCCGCGGGAAAGGAGTCCAGGCCGGAGCCGGACACTTGGCCCGGCGGGAAGAGCAGGGGGAAGTGAGTGGCCCCAGCACAGTCCTCTCCTGACCCCCGCCACACCGGGCAAGGACGACCAGCGGGACCGCAGCAGAGTGGGCCAGCTGATGCCCACTTGCAGCGCGGACAAGGGAGAACAGCCACTGGCGGGACACGCGGTTAGTGGACAGGGAGGACGGATGCAGGAGCGACAGCCAGTGGACTTCGTGGACGGGGAGGACACGTGCAGGAACCACACGGCCAGTGGACACGGGACGGGAGCCACACACGGCCAGTGGACGGGGTGGACGGAGACCCTGACGCCGCGAGGCCTGGGGGCACTCAGCACCACCCCGATTCCTGCCTGTGCCCCAGCGGAAAGTCCCTGCAGAGGGAGGGGCAGCTGAGCCATGGCCCGGTCCATGCGCCGAGGTCCCCCAGGCCTGGACCTTGGTGCCCCTGCACTTGTCTTGCTAGTCACCCAAACACACATTCCCCTTTATTCCCCTGCTTCTCTTAGGGTGGGAGCGTGCGTGTGTGTGTGTGTGTGTGTGTCCCCACCCAGGCCCCAGGGGGTGTTTGCGGAGGGCACTTGGCCTAGCAGGGCGGAGGGAAGCGGCCTCTCCCCTCTCTCCACAGCCAGAGAGCTGGGGGATCCGCCCCCACCCTGGACCCCGTTAACCTTAATTGTCCCAGGAGCCACCTGGGATTTGGGGGGTCCAACGCAGGGCTTTGAGGGAGGCCATCTCACAGGGGAGAGAATGCGCCTCTACCCTGAGGGGCGGCCTAACTCCCAGTCTCTCCCACCCTGCGCCCACTGGGACAGGTGGACCCTACGAGTCTGCCCCCAGGTGGCCCCGCCTCTGTGCCACTCCGCGGGGGTCTCTGCCCACGAACACTCGTGTGCTCGCAGGGACCTGTCCCCCCAACTGCCCGGGTTCCCTCCAGCTGCCTGGAGAATCGCCCGATGGGGAAGGCCTGGTCAGGCTGAGGCCCCGGGGCCGATGGGAGTGAGCCCAGATTGCTGATGTTCGTCCCTTAGGGACCCCCGCACAGGGCCTCACCCACACTCACCATGGGCCAGGTCATGCTGCCGTACCCGCCCTGTGAGCCCTGGTCGACCCTAGATCTGAGCGTGTAGCCGTGAGCATCACCTCCCGCCACCCACGCCCTTTCTGGCGGGCGTGGCCTGTCCTGTCCCTGGTGTGACTCTGCTCCCCCTGGATGCCGGGGGGCCTGAGCTGGGCCTGGGCCTTGCTCCCTCAGCTGTGCCCCAGACTACCAGGGCCCAGGGTTGCCCCCAGAGTGACCCCAGCACCCCCCCCGCCGCTGCCCCCTGTCCCCGTGTCCCCTGCCACGGGCTCTGGATTCTGGTGGGGCCACGCAGGCTGATGTCCTGTCACCATCAGGGACTCGGGGCCACACCCCCTGCCCTCTCAGCATGCCAGGAAGTGCGGCTGCAGGGTTGTTCCCGACACCCAGGGCAGGTTGGCACTTTGTCTCAGGCCCCGGGGTGGCGCTGCCCTAGGAAGAGCCTTCGAAGGCACCCGGGATCTGGTCATGGGTCACCCTGTGTTCGTGGCTGGCGGGGCAGCTGTGGGACAGCCCGGGTCGGTGCCTTCGGGCCAACAGTGGCTGCCGGCAGCGGGCTGCTGTCCTGCCTGACTCTGCAGCAGGCAGGGGGAGTGAGGGGCCTCACGGGGTGCCAAGGCCCACAGGGAGCAAACACCCTCAGCGGCCCTACGCCGTGCCCACCCTCACTCCTGCCGCCCCACGCTCCCTCGGGCAGGGTCTGGCCACCAGACCCAGCAGACAGGACGGGACCCCCCCACTGCCTTGGTGGTATTTATGGGCCTCGGGTACCCTAGAGGCCTGCTGACAGCACCTGGCCAGCAGTGGAGGCAAGAGAGGGAGACGGGGGCTGGAGTGATAGCACAGAGGGGAGGGCGTTTGCCTTGCACATGACAGACCCGGGTTCGAGCCCCAGCATCCCATAGGGTCCCCTAAGCACCGCCAGGAGTAATTCTTGAGTGCAGAGCCAGGAGTAAGTAACCCTTGTGCATTGCCAGGTGTGACCCAAAAAGCAAAAAAAAAAAAAGAGTGGAGGACAGATGCCCCTGCTGGGGCACCTTCTCGAGGCTCCCTGCACTCTGCCAGCCTGATCTTTCCAAGAATGTTCTAGAACCACAGCTCCCTCAGCCCCTGCAGTCAGCCCTCCCTGCCAGCGACCTGTGATGCCTGAGCGATCATAGCGGGAGGAGTAACTTGTTTATTGTTGGGGAACACCCACGGCTCGCTCCTGCCCAGCACTGCAGCTTGGGGTGCGGCCGGCCCCCTGTGCCATGTGGCCCCACCAGGAGGGACGGGCGTCACGGCGCCATACCGGGGGGCCGAGGCAGCCATGGGCCTCCGTGGGGCTCATCTGGACTCCCCACGAGCCCCTTCCTTTGGCGGCAAGGGGCCCATGGCGCTGTCTCCTGCTGTCTCCTCCTTTTTTTAATCACCCATTTCAGTGGTTTAAGTAATAAAGGATTAAATAATGGATTAAATGTGGGACTTGCAAACAATTTCAATCACAATCACAAATCATCCTGTTATTCGTCGATTGCCTCGAGCAGGCCCCAGTAACGTCTCCTTCATCCTAGCCCTAAAATTATATTCAAGGCTCTTTAGGAGAATGAGACCCATCATTGTTACTGGTATTTGGCATATTGGGTACGCCACGGGGAGTTTGCCAGACTCTGCCGTGTGGGCAGGTTACATTCGGTAGCCTGCCAGGTTGTCCAAAGTAGGAATGAGATATCTCATTCCTGCAAACAATTTGTTTCTACGTTAACAACACCACAACCACCCTGCCCCTCAGGGAGGTTGTATCAGTGATCTGTTGTCACAATGCAACAACAACAACCATCCTGTTATTCGTCGATTGCCTCGAGCAGGCCCCAGTAACGTTTCCTTCGTCCTAGCCCTGAGATTTTTTTAAAAAACTGCCAAATTCAAGGCTCTTTCAGAGTTAGGAGAATGAGACCCATCATTGTTTCTGGTATTTGGCATACTGGGTACGCCACGAGGAGTTTGCCAGACTCTGCCGCGTGGGCAGATGGGCAGGTTGTTACAATAGTGATGTGTAAAAAGCCAGCTCCAAACTTCCAAGTTCCTGAGCTAGCCTGGATAGCCAGTCTACTGCTCTGGACCAACCAGGATGACCCCATTTGGGTTTTCCAGTGGGTCTGCTTCAGGTCAGATGGAGGCCGACCAGTGAAAATAGCATGCGTAGGGGCTGGGGCAATAGCACAGCGAGTAGGGCGTTTGCCTTGCACGCGGCCGACCTGGGTTTGATTCCCAGCATCCCATATGGTCCCCTGAGCACCGCCAGGGGTGACTTCTGAGTGCAGAGGCAGGAGTGACCCCTGTGCATTGCCAGGTGTGACCCCCCCCAAAAAAAATAAGAAAATAGCATGCGTAGCGCTGTTTGCTTAAGTGCTGTCTCCTCCTCCTCCAGCTGGTTGCTTCCATACCATGGCAAGGGCTCGAAGCAAGAAGAACACCAGTGACCAAAGACCCTGGAGCGTAGGGCTCAGAACTAACAACCTGTCATTTCTCCTTCATTGTGTTGGCCAACACAAGTCATGGGTCAATTCCAGGGGTGGGGACGGAGGCTATCCATCCAGGTGGGAGGAACGGCAAAGGACATACCAAAGGAGGTGGCGAGAGGGTGAATATTGAGATGACATTGACAATTTCCCATCAGAGATGCAGTAATAATGATGAGAAAAGGATGAAGTCTGAATAATGACATGCAAATCTTATTTTTTATCCTTCCAAATTTTATTACAGCACTGTGAGTTTCAAAGTTATTTAGAGTTGGATTTTTGACACATGTAAATTTTCTTCATTATTATCTGTCTAGAAGAAATCAAGACCTTAAAAAATAAAACATAAAGTCTAATATATCTGTTGGACCAGCCATACCAGCTCCCGCCGCGGACAAGGCCCCGCCAGGACCGGAGCCCAGTGGGCTGTGCTGACATCCGAGTCCTGGCCCGAGCAGCGCCGCGGTGGGGACTGCCCTGAGCACTGTGCCAGCTGCCAGCAGCACCCAGAACTTCTCCGTGGGGGCGTGCCCATGCTGGCTGCAGGAGGAGGAGGAGGAGGAGTGGGAGGAGGTGAGGGAGGAGGAGGAAGAGCAGAAGGAGGAGTGGGGGGAGGAGGAGTGTGGGGAGGAGCGGGAGGGCCCTGCGGCCGCGCTGCCCTCTGGGAGGACTGGCCTTGGGGGCTCCTGCTGGGGACGGTGCTGGTGGCCGCCGCCACGGCTGGGCTCAGGGTGGTGTGTCCAGACCCTTCACGGGCCGCCCCGTCCCGGGCACCGCGGTCAGCAGCGCTCCTGGCCCGGAGCGGGCGTCCGGGCGGGATCCGGGGACGCATCTCCCGGGACGGGTGCAGGGACCGGCGCGGCGGGCGAGCAGATGCTGACGTCCGTCCGGCCGCCCCGCGCCGCCCTCCGCCGCCGCCGCTGCAGCCTGGCCGCGCGCCACCCGCGGCCGGTGGCCAGCAGGTAGATGACGGGGTCGGCCACGCTGCTCAGGGTGCAGAGGCTCAGGCAGACCACGGAGGCCGTGTACACGCGCCGCTCCAGCTCGCACAGCTCGGGCACCTTGTGCCGC